TCCAAAAAGAGGGACCGGTATACATAATTGCTTTGGTGGCAAAAAAAAAAAAATCCGGATTTGGGGGGGGGGGGGAGATACAAATTGTCTCTTTGTCTTGTGGGATAGGAGTGAATAACGCTTTTCAAAGCGAACATATTTATTGGGCATTGTAATATTGTAAAAGATACGTAAATTACTCATCATTTATAAATCCATCACTTGTGTGAGTCGGCTGTCTTAGTTGTTTCCCTAGTGGGTTGATATTTCGTATTATCGAAAAAGAATGTTACATAACAATCGTAAGCAGCTGTATAGGGCCTTTGAGGGAGTTTTTAATCCGGGGGGTATTAATCCCTTTTAATTACTTAATCCTTTTTAATGACTTCCATAAAACAATAGGGAAGAGGAAATGAAATTTAACGAGGTATTTCCGGTCAGGATGTGTGTTAATTAATGCAGGTATTTCCTGTCAGGATGTGTGTGAATTAATGCAGGTAGTTTTTTCATGGAAAGGGTGGCATCTGGGTCATAAAACTTGAATTATGAGGGTCTTTCCTCTGGAGGAAGTGTTTACATCATGAGTCATCATCATCATGGGAGAGGTCTGGGGATGGACGTGTTACTGGTAGGACGGGCAATGACCAAATGACCAAAACAATGGGCCTGTGCCAGTTATGTTGTTTGTACGCAGGTACGTATTTCCGACCAATGAGAATGCGCGGATCCTTCTTGTTGGAGTGACGTCACCATTGTGCGTGCTTGTGATTGGATGAGGAAAAAGGATGGGGTGACTGAGAGGGGCGGAGCCTAAGGGGTGGGGTAGGGTATAAACGTCGGAGGATTCGCCTCATTTTGTATCATAGACATCAGCGCTAAGACAACATCATTCAAAATGGCCGCCACTACCTCAACCTTTGGAGTAATGACTTCCACCCCAGTATCATCATTCAACATGCTCAATACTCCACCTACGAAGAGAGTACCAGCCAATGACTTTGCCGCTTTAACTAGGCCCTCATACAACGCTAGAGCTGCGGCAGCATCCCCACCACCACCACTGACGCCAGAAGGCCTACCGGGACACATCTTGGCTATGAAGGTATGTGCTTTTGCCGTATGGTTTATTTATTTATTTATTTATCTAAGTATTTTGAATAAATATATTAGTATATATGTATAGCTACATTGAATGCATGACGGGTGAGTGGATGGGAGGGTTGCATGAAGGTCTTACATCGTGGTAGCATGCATAATGATACTCATTTTTGTCTTTTATTCACAATAGGATCTAAACGGCGAGGGTAAAGAAAATACATACAAGGTGCGTGAAGAGGCAGGTTGTCATCATAGTCATGAAGAAAATTTTGAATTGTTTGAATTTGAATCGGGGTCAGAACCATTTCATTTGGGTGGGCAACGTTATGCGGTGGTAAAAAAATACAGGGGTGTCACATACGTTGCTATTCGGGAATATTACAAGGACAAAAAGAGTCGAAATACTCCAAATAGGATGTTACCGGGAATCAGGGGAATCAATCTCACGGCAGACAATTGGTGGCACATGACAAAATCCATCATGAGCATCAGCGATGCAGTCCGTGCCAAAATCAAGGAAGACAAAGACTAGTTTTGCTTTTCATTTTCATTCTCAACAAAAATTTAAAGAATAATAATAATTATTAAAAAAAAAAGAAAAAGAAAAAAAAAAAAAAAAAAAAAAAAAAAAAAAAAAATATATATATATATATATATATATACATATTGGCACTTTTTGTACGCTTGCTCTCTCACCCGCACCTTAGGACGCCATCTTTCAACTGGAGCAAGAGTTGGAAAACACATGCCCCTTCGAGCCTACACCTAGCGTGACAGCACCATCCCCGAGCTGCTGGGCACCAAGAAGAGAGCTGGAAAGACCAAATCATGCAGGCATGGACACCATTAAGAAAGTCCTCAGGTTTGATGACGACGACGTCATCTTTATTTCAGGCGATGAGGAGGAGGAGGAGGCTGTGGAAGAAGGAGAGATCATCTCGGTGGTGCAGCCATCTCAGAGGAGGGATATCAGCGACCAACTGCCTGTGGCTCCAGTCCTGATGGCTGTGAAGGCATTATCAGCAAGGATTCATACCCTGGTTGTCGAGGGATGCCAGGGATGTCAGGACGACCAGCCAGGGCAGGAAGCCCACCTGGATTGCCTGTATCAGGAATGGCACGAGAAGGTGGACACACACTTCATCGGGGCCATCAACCGCCTCAACGAAAAAGAATTTTTGGATTTTTTACCGTCCGTCTACAACACATCCATCATGTTCGACGATGAAATGGACGAAGCCTTGGCCGAGGCGGTCGAATTCTTCCACTTTGACTTTCAAAACAACGACGTACGGGAATTTATAAAAACAAAGATGATGAAGCAGTAATGTGAATATGGCTTAGGCACTATGCCTCTGGACTCTTTATTTGATAATACCTATCCAAACACAGTACCGATTTATTTCTTTCATGATTTTATTTTGTCATTTTTCTGTTTTGGTTATTTATGTTGGTTTAATGTTAAATACATTGTTTGCGTTAAACTGAAAAGAATTATTCTGACCTTGTGTGTTTATTTTTTTTCCAGTTGTTTTATAGTTATAAGTGATGGAAAATGGGATGATTGATCATTTTTGAGATTGATGTTGGTTCTGGAATGGTCATTGGTGAGAAAGTGAGGATGGACGAGTACTTGAAAAAGATTTATGGAGATCCTGAGAATGAGGCGGGGTTTGGAGGAGTTGAAAAGTTATATCGTTATGTGAAAAAGGATGGGGTGTATAACCTGACACGTAAACAAGTACGAGAGTGGTTGGCGGGCAATGAGACTTATACTTTACATTACCCCGTTCGAAGAAAGTTTACAAAGAGTCGAGTGATGGCGTATGCGATGGATGAATTATGGCAACTTGATTTGGTGGATATGTCTTCTTTATCACGATACAATTTGGGGTACAAGTACCTTTTGACATGCATCGATGTGTTATCGAAATTTGCTTGGGTAGTTCCTCTCAAAGATAAAAAGGGAAAAACTTTGGTAAAGGCGCTCAAGAAAATACTAGAATCAAAACGAGAGCCCATGAATATTCAAACGGATAAAGGGACTGAATTCACCAACAGGCTATTTCAGTCTTTTTTGAAGAAAAAGGGAATCTATTTCTACACCTCCTATAATACCACCAAAGCATCGGTGATTGAACGGTATAACCGCACATTAAAGGAAAAGATGTACAAATACCTTACCCATCGTGATAGTTCAAAATACATCCACGTGCTTCCCGATTTTGTTAGGGCCTACAATCACTCTTTTCACCGTTCCATCCAAACCAAACCCACACTCGTGACAAAAGCCAATGAAGGTGACATTTGGAAAACCTTGTACATGAAAAAGGGTCTGGATAAAAATCAGAAGAAAAATCCCGGGTATAAAGTGGGGGACCGTGTTCGTATCAGCAGAGCCAAGCACACTTTTGAAAAGGGGTACCGACCAAATTGGACTCAAGAAGTGTTTAACGTGAGTCAACGTAAGAAGCGTGATGTTCCCGTGTACGATATAGAGGATGATCTGGGGGAGAAAGTCTTAGGTACTTTTTATCAACAAGAATTACAAAAGGTTCGCAAGGACAAAGAGGGCGTATTCAGAGTTGAAAAAATACTGAAGAGGAGAACACGCAAGGGTAAAAAAGAATACTTGGTCAAATTTTGGGGGTATCCCTCTTCGTTTAATCTTTGGGTCGATAATATTCAAAAATCGTACAACGACCTCTAACTCTGCCATTTCAATGTACCATCATGGAGAGTGAAGACCAAGTTTACGTGACTCTGCCAAGCAACAGTTCATTCGATTATTTTCCAAACAACACGTTGACCAGTTTTACTACCAAGTTAGCAACTCCTTTGGTTTTGCGTGGGGAATACGAAGTGGCTTTGGTGGACGTGATCTATCCTCATTCGTGGTCCAACGTCAACTTTACAAACAACAAATACAGTCTATCCATCACTGATCAGGTCATCACGGTGGGGCGTATTCCCGAGGGACATTACAGAGAAGCGCTAAGCATATGCACGGCATTCAATCAATCCTTGCCACCCCATTTGCGAAACAAGGCTTGTTTCACCATCAATCCATCGACGCTAAAAGTGAGGGCCACGATACAACCAGACACCGGTATTTATCTCAGCGAGGGGCTAGGGCAGTTGTTAGGTTTCCCTGAAGGGACACTTCGTGCCAACCAGGAAGCTAAATTCCTCCCCGACATCAATGGAGGTTTATTTGCCATGTACGTTTACACGGACATTATCGAAAATCAGAGAGTGGGGGACACCAGCGCACCTCTGCTCAGGATCGTAGCGGTGGATCACCAACGTGCTGGCGAGGTCGTCGAGCGTACTTATCAAAGTCCCCATTATATCCCTGTCAAGCGCAAATACATCGATAGCATACACATAGATATAAGGAGTGACTTTGGAGACAAGGTGCCATTTCAAAACGGGAAGGTCGTACTGAAACTACATTTTCGTTCCCTTCGGAGACCCACGTTTGGCTTTTAAAATAAAATTGAAAATTGAAGAAAAAAAAAAAGGAAAAAAAATAAAGGAAAAAAAATCATGGAGTACGGAGGAAGGGGTGGAGGTTTACCCATCTTTAGAGGAGCTCGGATGCAAAGGGGTTACGGTTTGGGCAGTATGTTGAAAGGGCTTCTCCGTTCAGCCATCCCCCTCGTTAAATCGGGAGGAAAAATACTCGGCAAGAAAGCCTTGCAGACAGGCATGAATGTGATGCGTGACGTTGCCAATGGAGAATCTCTGGCATCAGCCACGACGTCCAATCTCAAAAGGTTAGGTCAGCAATTTGCCTCCAAACCCTCGGGCAAAATAAAAAAAAGGGGTAAAAGGAAGCGTGCCAAGAAGAATCCCGTCAGTGTGTCAAATGCCAAGAGACGGAGAACTTCGGACATCTTTGAACGGTAGACCCTACAAAAATGGAGAGAATACATCAGTTGTCGTGCGAATGCTCAAAATCTGAAATTGATTTGTTCAGCATTCCTCCGACCCAAACGACGGTGGAAAAGGGGAAATGGGTTGAATTTTTCCCACTCACAAATATTTCCGACACGGCCCCCATCCAATTTCACCTACAAGGATCCACGGAGGAGTACACGGACCTCTCACAAAGTCTAATCCATCTCCAAGCAAAAGTCGTCAATGGAGACGGCACACCGTTGGCCGACGATGCCCAGGTTGGCCCTACTAACATGTTCTTACACTCCCTGTTTAGTGATGTGGACTTGATGCTGAATGATAGACTCATCACCCCATCGACAAACACCTATGCCTACAGGGCAGCCCTGGAAACGCTGCTCACGTACGGGGCTGAAGCCAAAGAATCTCAGCTCTCGTCCGCTCTATTTTACAAGGACACGGCCGGTCACATGGACGATGGGAACCCCCTACGCAACGATGATGGTAACATGGGTCTGAAAGAAAGGCATCGTTTCATCAAAGGGAGCAATATTGTGGACATGGTAGGCGTTCTTCATCTCGACATGGTGTTTCAGGATAGACTGCTCCTGGGAGGCGTGGATATCAAACTTAAACTCAATCGCAGCAAGAATAGCTTCAGTCTGATGTCATCGGTCGAGAACGCCAATTACAAAGTCCTCATCACCAGCGCCTCGCTACACGTGAGAAGAGTCAAACTGAGCCCAGAGGCAGCCCTTCTCCATGCCAAGACGTTGGAAACACAAACGGCCAAGTATCCCATCCGGCGAGGCGAGGTCAAAACCTTTTCAATACCACGAGGGAACCTGTCTTTTACCAGAGAAAGCCTTATCCTGGGACAACTGCCCAAACGGCTTGTGATTGGATGCGTCAGCAACACGGCCTTCAACGGAGACTACTCCAAAAATCCTTTCAACTTTCATCATTACGATTTGAACTTCTTGGCCCTCTACGCAGACTCGGAGCAAATTCCATGGAAACCCATCCGCCCCAACTTTTCAGCACCTGACCCCAATTACATCTTGGCCTACCAGACACTCTTCTCGGGCATCAACTCCATGTTTCATGACAAGGGAAATCAGATTACCAGAAACGATTATAACAAAGGGTACACGCTCTATGCGTTTGACATGACACCCGATCTTTCCACGGGCGATTGTTTTAACTTGCGTAAACACGGGAATGTTCGACTAGAGTTGCAATTTGCGAGTGCTCTTCCAGAAACTGTGAATGTGTTGGTCTATGCAGAATATGAAAGCGTGATCGAAATTGATAGAAACCGTAACGTCATCGTAGATTTTGGTGGTTGAGAGGTTGTTTGGGTGGGGAGGAAAAAAAAGAAAAAAGAGTGCACCATGGATACCAAACAGTTGCAACACGTGGGGCAGTCTGATTCAAAATTAAAATCCACGTTTATAGGGGTTTTTCCCTCGGATCAATTACCCTTCATTGAAACTTATCCAGCAGCGTTGATTGCCAATATTGATACTCATGACCAAGATGGAAGCCATTGGGTAGCCATCTATTTGACCAAAACGAAACGAGGTGAATTTTTTGATTCATTTGGGAGGCACCCATCCATGTGTTCTCGTCATTTTAAACCCTTTTTGGAAACCTGGTCGGATGCATGGACTTATAACCAAAGGTCGATGCAATCTTTTTGGTCCGCAGTGTGTGGACAATATTGCTTGTATTATTTGTTACGACGAGTAAGGGGAAATAGCATGGCTAGCATCGTTTCTACCTTCAATCAAAGCCGTGTTGAAAATGATAAAAAGGTTCACGCATTCATCCAACGTCACTCTCCGACCATCAATACACCCATTCACGATCCAACCTTCATTCTCAATCAAATTGCTACGTCATTCAATTAAAATCAACCATGCATGGATGTAAATAGTGTTGTTGTAAATGTTTTATGATCGTTTTAAATTTGATGTGTGCATGAAAAAAGAAAAAAAAAAAGAAATTAAATTTAAAAAAAAATTAAGTTGAAAAAAAAAGAAGCTATGTAGAGTGTTTAGAATGTTTTTGTTTTTTTTAGAATCTGTGAATATGTGTCAATGTCATTATCATTTCAATCAAAAGTGCATACATTCATTCATTTTGTTTTCTTTCACACTAGCTCACGCAAACAAGAGATAGGCAACAAAAAAAAAAAAAAAACATGTAACACATTCATTGTTGTCACGTATATAGAATTGATATCAATTTTTTATTATTGTTACAAATAAAGTTTCAATTACATCGTACAATCACAGTCGTCTTTGTTGTTGTCATTTTATGCGTTGTTACAGAGTTCTTGAATAATAATAATGATCATGATAATCACGGTATGTATTTATGAGAGAAACATTGCAGAAATTGAATCGCACGATAGAGATAAGAGAGAGAGAGAGAGAGAGAGAGAGAGAGAAAGAGAATTAAGAGAGGGAGAGAGAAAACAAAAGGAGAAATATAATATATATTTGCAAAATAAAACGGTTTAAAAACGTTCCCATTTTAAAGAAGGTTTTCGCTTCTTTTGGGAAGAAGGAGGCATTGGGTTAGACCTCGTGGTGATGATAGGTGGTGTTTGTGGTAACACTTTTGGGGACTTATTCGCAGGAGTACCTTTCAGTTTAATTTGTTGCAATGTTTCACGTCTGTCTTTGTTCATGATCAACGATTCTGGTACATTAACGTCTCGCAGGACGTGTAAAAAATACTGCCAACCCAAAGGCTTGACCATTTTACGATCTTTCAATACATCATACATTAAATCAATCATGTTAGACCCATCAATGACCCGACCATCAAAAACCAATTCCCCACGAGCATTCCACCTCCAATTGGCATCTTCTGTCTGCTTGAAAATATGATCCATCAATAATTTAGCCTTGTGCTTCAATGTCACGGGTAACATCTTTAAAACATCTTCCCTCATGGAGCCTGTATGCTCCGTCTCACTCTGTGGGTGTGCATCTCCACCCATGCTCTCTGTAGAAGGCTGTTCAGTGACCCTTAGATGAATTGATGTGGGGTTTGCCTCATGCTTATGCAATTGTAAATATTTTTGCAAAGCTTCGTGATACTGGACCACTTTATCTTTGTCCGATACACCGCTTGACCCTAGAATGGATTGAATACTCTCGTCCAATTTGGATAACACCCTCTGTGCTGGTTGAGCGCTTCCCATGGATGCCTGCACTGCGCGTGCCATTTCTTCAGGAACCAATGTCATTTTCTTTGTATGCTCCATGTTATCCCATCAACAGCCGTAAGACAGGGCCAAGTATTGCGCCTAAAAATCCTCCCTTTTGTACAAATGTATTTCTCCTTGCTTTATGACTGCTACGTTTGTCAGCAGCTTGGCGTATATACTTTTTATGCCGCGATAAAGTCTTCTTTTGAGAGGATGTTAGAGGTACATTGCCTTTTAAAGTATTTGCGCAGCATTCTGACAGGCAAGTAATCAATGTCTTGTTCGCATGCTGCAATAAAGCTTTCCTCTGCCGAGGAGTGGACTTGAGAAGGACGCGCAGTTCAGGCAAATGGGTCTTCACGCTGTGGGTCATGATGCTCAAATGATAAGTCCTGTACTATCGCATCTTACCTTATACTTTTTGGTACGTACACCGTGGTGAACTCATTTGGAAATACGTGTGTTCTTAACCTATGGGATTCTGGCGTGTTGGCTTTCAAATCTATCAACAAGTACCCGTAAGGATTTTTGGTAGCGTCATTGTAGGCCTCTTGTACATATTTCGTTTGACCTGGGTAGAGTTGACGTCCCAAATGGGTAATTTGAGATTTGTCTCTAGGATTTTTGTAAATGACCAAATACTGAGCGTTTAAACTTATGGTGCGTGTCTCTTTGCCCGCATGAAATAGATTCTGAACGATAAATATGACCGATATATTACGATGATGTGAACCACGTGTAAATAGGGTCGTCATAGTTGCATCTTTGGTGCATTCGGACATCAAATCATCGACAACGATCAAATTACGTACATTGGGATCAACGACATTATCAAAATTGCATGGAAATCCTTCAATAAATTCGATGTGAGGCACTTCAGCCATCATTTCGGTATAGGCTTTTTGATACACGCCATAACACCAAATTATTTTTTGAGGTGGTTGTTCAATCATGTCCTGATTATACTTTAAAAGTTTTCTGACAAATACCGTCTTGCCACTCCCCGTAGGGCCTGCCACAATGCATGTAAAAGGATGAACAAATTTTACACTCATGATGAAAACCGTCTATAAATTGTCAACCCTCCTCGAATCGCACTACCCACCACAAATGACAAAAAAGATAAAGTCCGCGGACTTATGAAGGTGCATGCTCGCTTGATGCGATTCAAAAATTGACTGATGCGAGAATACATACCAATATAAATGCCGACTACCCGATTTTGGTACGGTAACATAAGGTTTACCCCTCTATTCTGACAATGATGCGACCCCATTATCAAATTTGACTGAAATTATACCCCTCTGTAAGATTTGTAAGATCGGATGAGAGATATATTGCTTCTAAGTAAGATGAAGACGATGACAACAACTGATCTTCTAAGTAAATATAGGCAATAAGTGCAATCGTCGTGAGAAAAAGAACTAAAAATCCCACCCACGTTTTAGGTCTCTGCTGCAATGCAGATAGCGTCAAACGCAGAGCCGGAGAAGTTAGCATGCTTCTTGTTTCACAGTTTTCAAACGACTGACGCTTGAGTAAAATGTACGTTTCATTAAATGGAATTGTAATTGGAGGGGGTGGGGGGGGGGGTGATGATCAATTTGCAGTCATGTACCCAAAAGGAACTGTAAAGAAGTCATCTCGGACCACTCTCTTGTTGTACACGATTCTGTAGTCCTTGCTAGCCACTCGAGTTTCGATACGCTGCCTTTTGTGGACTCGAGTGATCTGATAGGGATTGGTGACCGTGACTTTTTCCTGCTCATCGTCTTCTACTCGCCTTACCATGCGTTTCATGGTCTCAAAGTTGATCACTTGGAAGTTCTTGTAGTTTAGTGTGATGCCCTTCACTTTGCAGGTTGTTTCGCCAGTGTTGAGCTTGTACGCGTAGTTCTTTGGGCCTCCTGAGACGAAGGATGTGATGTGCTTGCCGTCTATTTCATCCGTCAATTCTCCTAGATAGTCGCCGAGAGGAGGACACCATTCTCCGGGCACGTGTAATCTTTCGATGTACAAGATACTGTCTGTGTCGTAGTAAAGTACACGTTCTCCTAATCGATCCAACACGTCGTACAATTTCATTCTTGCTTGCGCCGTTGTAAAGGCAGCAATCACCACGTTTGCTTTGGAGCTCACCTTTTCAAACTCGTCTCTTCTGACAGTACGTACCTCCACCACATCATCGTTGACAAAATTGAGATCGTTGACTTCGACCTCGTCCGACGTCAGGAGCTCGTACAATTGTGCGGGATCGAAGATGATGCTGGTCTCAGGGAGATTGTTTCTCATTCCGAACCTCCCCCAGAATGAATTAAGCATGAGTTTGGCCAGTGATCGTAGGCCTTTGTTTTTCACGATCTTCTCGGGGTCCAGTTCAATTCCTTCGTGTTTCTTATAGTCGCTGATGTATTTTGCTTTCTCCTCCTGCGTGCGACACCAGTCAGGCCAGCCCGATGCCTCTTGTTTGATCTTCAGAAAAGTGTTGACGAATCCTGTAAACAAACCAAAATCCTCCCGTGACCTCTCCAGGAATGGCTTTTCATCGTTGAATTTTGATTTATTGCAAAAATGCCAGACAGATTCAATTTCAGTGACGATGTACCCCTTTTCGACCGCTTTTTCCAATTCGAGGGAGACCCAGGTACTACGAAGCATCCTTTCCCCATCGCTATGGTGACAAGGCGTTTGCTGATTGGTTTCGGCGCAGGTGAGGCACAGTGGAAACATGAGCTTGCCATTCACTTTCAAGGGTAAAACGGGATGAAACAGGTTTTGAGGAGGTAACACCTTACATCTGATGAGACCGTAGTATTCAGACACATCTTCGAAGTTGTCGGTGATCACTCTGGGATGACCCAAGGGATAGGAGCCATATTTGTTGATGCTTGGGTATAGAGAAGTGAAGTCGACGTACTTGATTCGTTCTCCCTCCTGGCACTCGTACAGCATGCAACTCGCATTGGTACGTCCACCGTAAAAAGCTTGACGAGGATCCAGGGGGATGGGATTTGGAAGCCTCCGTTTGATGTGCTGAGGGATGGTCTTTCCTATCTCCTCATCCCAGTGGCATTCCCACATGGTGATGTAATTCCAATCTTTCAGGATATGTTGGACATACTTTTTCTTGGCCAAGGTATCGAGATGCAATTCTCCCATGGTTTTCTGGACGCCTCTTCTCCCACTGTCTGTGTCAAAAGAATAACATCTGGCGCACCCGTGCCAATAGCACCCGTTGAACTCGTAGACCGTTTTGTTTTCTTCGCAGTACCCATCTAACTTGTATTTTCCGACCCTGACCTCTCCTTCATTGCGTGCATGTCGGATGTACACTCGTTCCTCCTCGGCCACGTGAGTAAGCCATCGAATGGCTTTGTTGGATTGGATGTCCTCTGGGGCGTAACCTCGAGGAGGAATGATGGCAATGGCATCTTTTTGGAGATAGTTTCTCCGAAAGACGAGATGGCAGGCAGCGGCGATGGTGATGCACTTGGTCAGGGGGTCGACGCCCAGATCAAACTCGCACAGTTTCGTCACTTCTTTAAACAGAGTCCGAAACTGGAGACAGCATCTTCTCAAAATGTCGACGTCGCTGACACAATAGGCATGAATCTCCTCCGACATGATGAACTCCCGCCCAGACGATACTTCTCCATCGTACCATGTCAGAAACTCTTCCCTCTTCTTGCTGGACATACTCTCTGGATAATAGTATTTGGCATCTGGCATGGGTCCCCGATAGTTCATGTTGGCGTCAATGTTAAAAAAATGTGGAAAGAAGCCCTTCTTGACTTCTTCTATTCCAAAGGTGGCTGGCAAGGCAGAGAGAGGCATCGGTAAAAAATTCAAGGAGTCGATGAAACGGATGCCATTGTTGGGCACGGTCATGCTCATAATCTTACCACCAGCCAAGATCAAACGGGGGATGATGCAGTTGCGATAGAGAAATTCCTGAATGAAAATTCCATCGTAACTTTTAAAGTTATGAGCGATGAAAGTAGCACCACGGTTCTCTTCTGTGTCGAACACCCATTCACAAAAATCATCGCCTGTTCTGGGTCCTTGAAACACCCATTGTTTCTTCTCTGCCTTGCCGCAAATCTTACAATCTTGTTCAAATGGAATATCTGCGCAATAACCACAAGCTCTTTGTGCCACGCAATAATTGGGTATATGCTTGCCAGTATCTTGCGTACATTCAAAGTCGAAAAATACAAAATTGGCGTGCTTTTTTGGTCTCTCGTCGTCGTCGTTGTCTTGGGAACGGTTCTCATCTCCTTCGCGTTCATCATTTTCATCATTCATGGCCGCTCTTGTGGCGAAAGGATTTTCCGATTGGATGTAGCATTGGTGGCCAGGATCCACATACTTTCTGCATAGTTTGCACACCGTCTGTCCACAGATGTGCTTCCTTTTCTGCTTTTTCAACAGCGCGTTGTTGCAGAGTGTTTCACAGTGTTCGCATTGGAAATATCGTTCGCATACCTTGTTGGACCGATGATTTTGGAAGCAGCGTCGGTTCTTGAAGTTGCGGTTGCAACGTTCGCAGTGTATATGGTCTTCATCCTCGGAAGGAGGGGGGCACTCTACGCTACGGCACATTTTGCAAGCATTGTAACAAGTGTGCTCATTCTTGGCATTATAGCCCTTGAAACAGTTCTCGCAGAAATACGACTTGTTATAAAATGCGCTCATAGAGGTTATGAGGTCGTAGTGATCATCGTGCGAGTAGATGTAGATGGTGTGTTCCCTCTCCTCCGGCCCTGCGTAGATGATGAAGTCTAGATGTTCCTTTGAGACAACGACGACGCGATACTTGGCCATGCGCTCTGTACTCTCAAATTTTCTAATTTCTTCGATGCTGCACTTTGTGTTAATGGGTATTCCGGCTTGTCTGTACATGTCCTCCGCATAGGTCCGTTGCTCCTTGTATCCTTTCCGGATGGATTCCCAATTTGGATGCTTCTCAATACGACAGAAGCCTGTCACAATTGCCCTTGGGCAGCACATGTTATCTTTATTTTTAATTTGAATGATACTCATTTTACTGAGCAGTCGCTCTTTGAGATTCAAAACAATCCTTCTACTAGTCCTGCCCCCTTCTTGCATAGCCATGTGTAGCACGTTGAAGTCGAGGTTTTCATCGAGGGTAATATCTTCGTGGGACTGAAGCGTGGACTCTAACTTTGAAGCAAAGACTTGGTAATTCATTTGATCCCTCCGGATGAATGGGAGGCTCACTGGTCTATCCAGCTGTGGCGCATTGAGTACAAGTCTGACAAAGTCCCTATCCCTTACACCGACCATCATTTCATCGATGATATTTTCAAACATGTCATTGACCCTAGGCATCATGTCGAGCATGGGTCCCATATTCTCTGCAGGCTGAAAAGCGATATTGTAATCCATGACCCTGGCATTGTACTTTTTAACGTGCCTTTCACTCACTTTTGTTACACGGTGCGTGGGAAGTGGCGTCACTCTTGAGGGGAGTGTTTCTGCTTGGCGTTTTGTTGCCCTGGTTGAAGATCCTCCGACATGGTTCGTGGAGGGGCCAGCTCGGGTATAACTCGTCGATGGCATACTGGATGGTCCAGCGACATCGTGGCTCGTGGAGGGGCCAACTCTGGTGTAACTTGTCGATGGTATACTAGAAGGTCCAGCGACATCGTGGTTCGTGGAGGGACCAGCTCGGGTGTAGCTTGTCGATGGCGTACTGGATGGTCCAGCGACATCGTGGCTCGTGGAGGGACCAGCTCTGGTGTAGCTTGTTGATGGCATAGTAGACGGTCCAAAGCCAAATATATTTTCGCCAATGTCTAAGTTGAAATTTGATGGGGTCGCCCCTCCAGGATTGGCGTGCTCAGCTTCAGGATTTTGGAGGTGATCGTTTGCGAGACCAGAGGTGGGGCTGGGCATATCCACTTCCCAAAGATCTTTTTCGCTAATTTCTAGAAAATATTGAAATACAAAACAAATAAAAGATCTTTAGTCATCTTGAACTACACTCTTTTGCAACCATCATTTGTAAACAAAAAACAAACAAAACAAATTTTTCTTGCAACATCTATTGCATAAAATTTATTGTACAATTTTTTTTTTTTTTTTGAAAAAAAGGTAATCATGGTTAAAGAACTAAAACTATGTAGAATTCATCATCACAGAAAAAAAAAAATCACCCACACAAACAAAACAACAACAACAAAAAAAAAAATTAGCAAAACACATAAAACAAATTTAAAAAAAAACAAAAAAACACACAATATATTCATAGATTTTAATAATAAAATTTTACCGTACATGATAAACTCGATAGGCACTTACCGTCATCAAATTCTGGATGTATCTGTTCATTGTTCTCCGGTTCCAAACTCAAAAAATAAGTTGTTCTCGCAAAAATCAAAGCATGCTGTTCAGGGTCCAAGTCATCCGAGTACTCCTCACGAAAGTTGGAAACTTCTTCCAGGCATGTGCAGGCCTGTAACATCCTCATTAATTCTACTGTGGTAATCATGGTGAAATCTACAATAGGTTATGGTTGAACAATGTTGTTTTAGCGCTGATGTCTATGATATAAAATGGGGCGAATCCTTCCATGTTTATACTTTACCCCCCCACCCCCCACCCCCTTAGGCTCCGCCCCTCTCAGTCACCCCATCCTTTTTTCCTCATCCAATCACAAGCACGCACAATGGTGACGTCACTCCAACAAGAAGGATACTCGCATTCTCATTGGTCGGAATACGTACCTGCGTACAAGCAACATAACTGGCACAGGCCCATTGTTTTGGTCATTTGGTCATTGCCCGTCCTATCAGTAACACGTCCATCCCCAGACCTCTCCCATGATGATGACTCATGATGTAAACACTTCCTCCAGAGGAAAGACCCTCATAATTCAAGTTTTATGACCCAGATGCCACCCTTTCCATGAAAAAACTACCTGCATTAATTCACACACATCCTGACAGGAAATACCTGCATTAATTAACACACTTCCTGACCGGAAATACCTCGTTAAATTTCATTTCCTCTTCCCTATTGTTTTATGGAAGTCATTAAAAAGGATTAAGTAATTAAAAGGGATTAATACCCCCGGATTAAAAACTCCCTCAAAGGCCCTATACAGCTGCTATCGTAGTTACAGCTGAGTTTGCTTATCATTATCGTGTTCGTGGGGTCGGGAATTAAGCCGTGTCTAATAAGGAATGTCTTCGGTCGTTCGCAACACGACTTGTTTCCTTTATTACTAACTGCGGCATTTATTTCTATAGATGATGTTTTGACTTTGCAACCAAAAAATTCTTTCTGCATTGATCTTCTTTCTGATCACGCCATGGTTAGAAAGACGATATTTCGCTGTCCATACGGTGCCATATCTCTCCGCCATGTGGTTGGAAATTAAGTTTGATTAAATGGACCTTTAGTCCCTGAGGCTAATGTAATTCTTGCATCCATCAATCGGTTTGTTGGTGACCTCTCTAAGAATGATATGACGCTGAGATTGCTCCAGTCTAAAGTCAAAACTCTGCAACAGTTTTGCCAAGATCACCTTTGATTCAATCTGCAAAATTAAAAACAGTTAGTCAAAAATTAAGGGTTTAGAGCAGTAGTAGTAGTAGTAAGAAGTAATAGCAGCAGAAGTAGTAGTAGTAGTAGTAATATAGTAGTTGTAATAGTCAGACTTATAGTAGCAGTAGTAGACTAGTATGAGCAACATCAGCAGAAGTAGTATTAGTAGTATTATAGTGGTAGCAATGGTAAAGTAGTAGAAGTCATAGTAAAAATACATGTAGTAGTAGTAGGACTTATAGTAGCAGTAGTAGACTAGTAGTAGCAACCGCAGCAGCAGTATTATTAGTATTATTATTAATATCATTAGTATTATAATTGTAGTAATAATAATAATCATTATTATTATTATTAGAAGTAGTATAAGTAGTAGTAGTAGTAGAAGTAGTAAAACTACTTAAAAATATCATAGTTATGAAACGAATATTAAACTGTTCATTCATACTAGCGAAAATAAAATTTACATATTTTGCATTAAAAACTTGACGACTTATAGAACAAAAACGACATTAATATTTTCGTTTGTTATGATACTGAAAACGGCTAATGAATGGTGATAATATAGTTTGTGTCTTTTTTGTCTCTCCCATTCTTTGCATGATTCTTGTAGGTGTACAAATTTAGAGTGGGTTTAGTGTATGGTACCTAATATTTTTTCTGTCTCCTGAATCTTCCCTTTGACTAGTATGTAGAAAGAGAGAGAGAGAGAGTAGACTTACCAGAGCTAATTGCTGTCCGATACAATTACGTTGCCCAATGGCAAAGGGATAGTATGCAAAGAAGTGCCTCGGCCTGAAAAGATATTATACAAATAAGATCTTCCACGTATAATATTCTGTCGGATTTGAACGGAATAAATTTGGATAATACTAATGATGATGAAAACGATGATGATAGTAACAATAAAGTCGTTTATTTACAGAGATACAATCAATTTTCCATAAATATGCTGACGTCATAATATGCAAATTCATATTTTGAGTTCCGTTGAAGGCCATTATGATGACGTCAGAATATTTTTAATGGTCAAATGAGACATGAAATCATATCTCCGACTCATACTCTATCAAAATATGAAAAAATGAGGGGGGGGGGGGTCCAGGAGGGTGTTTCACAAAGCCTTTGTTCAATGACAATTGACAAAAATCAGTGACAAATCTGCTGATAACCAATCAGAAACAAGGATTCCAGTAGCTTATGACAAAAACTGTTATCTATCACTGATGACAAGTTTTGTAAAACGCCCCCCCCCCCCGGGTGCATCCCAAACAGCTTTACTTTTGTATAAGCATGTTTTTGCCCATATATGCTATTACATGAACTCGCGCGCACGAACATTATTATCTTGACGGACGCTGATTCCGTTATTAATAGTCTTACAGAAATAAACAGGGTATCAAAATGTTCGGGAAAAAATGGGAAATATCTTGAAAGAAAAAAATGGCGATTCTATGTTGTGTAATGGCGTTACGCGTGACAACGCCCGAGCGCAATTTTTATTTATGCTTTAATGGCCTTAAATATACTCTCATTTGATTACAAATTTTGACGCGCGCATACGTGCGCGTCGTGGTGCGTGCGCAGATTTTGATGACATTTTATGGTGAACCTTAACCTGAAGTTTATGTGTTTCAAACATGGTTCAGTTTTGATGACACGTTATGAAGATATGATCTTGATTTTCAGAAAATTTCACAAAATGGCGCCTAGATGACGTCACCAGTCATGGTCATGGTCATGGTCAATGCTTCAACAAACTTCGAATTAACATTAGTGTACTCAGTAGCATTTTTTTTTTGCATTAAATGAAGCCCATATATGCACACGTTTTATCAGACTAGGGCCGTACTTACAGAGAATTCTGAATATTCGTGTGAGCTTATAAGGGCATGATAGTCAATATACTCACGTTTCATCAGTTGGAATAAATCGATCAGGATTGAATAGAAGAGGATCATCGAAAAACTCTTCCAATCGTGACGTCACGTATGTCATGAACTGCATCGATAAAGTCGTGTCATAAGAATGTTAACAAAATAGAATTTCCGAGGTCATCATATACAATTAATATTACATTCTAGTAATCCTGGAATGGCATTTTCAAAGAATCAAGTGAAACTTATACTAATGTTCAGAAATAGAAATAGTCGCTGATCTAACAAAATGTTCTTCGGAAGGAATTCGTGGCAACTGACTAGTGAGGAATCAAATAAGAAAATTAAAAAAATTCTTCACATTTCATCCCAGCTCATCTGTTGAAACCATACACGAACCGGTGCCCCACAAACTTCGAAGAATCAGAGGGTATAACTAATGAAACCTGATAAAAAAACAATACTCAGTAACGCTATATAACATCTGTAATGCATTATATATTCAAGTATTGATATTTCAAAATGTATTAAGGGGGGATTTTTTAGACTACGCCACTGACGAGCATACGCCAGCCTTTGTCTCGTTTGGATGAAACAGTAATGCTGGACGGGTAGGGTATCTCGACAGATAAGTATGCCATGCAATATTTCAGAAGCCATTGTAAATATGTTGGACAATATCATCAATGAAATATTCATAGTATACATTTTTTACCAAAATTATTTGGCAAATGACATTTATTTGTAGTCTTGAACATTCAGTGAAAGTTTCGTTTGATTCTGTTAGAATTAAAAAAAAAAAAACCAGAACTCAAGTTTATCTTTAATATCTGGGTGGAGAGACGAAGCCGAAATAAAATGATTTGTGACTATACCCACCATTATAGTTGTCCCCTTTGGAATGACGTAACCACACGATTGAACATCAGAAGCAAGGACACGGCTTAAACCACTTACAGGTGGGTTAAGGCGCATTGTTTCTTTAAATACCTACGGATAAGAATGAAATGTTAAAGTGTGCATATTTTTTTTCTTCTTCACCTGGTCCAATGTATTTGAATAAAATATAAGCAGGCTACCAGGAGCCCTGTGTGATATAAACAAGTAAATGACCATATATAATACATGATATACAATAGATGCGATGATACATACTGTGGAAAACAAGTCAACGCTACTGTACGCAATGCCTACGCAATAGTACGCTACCCTACGCAACTCCGATAAAGCAGTAAAAGCGTATAAAGGCGTCCTAAATCCTACCTGCGCGCAGCCTATGCACATTGACTGCTTGCACGTACGGCACTTGCGCCCACAATAAGCAAGCGTACGCAACCGTAAGCAAACTACGCCAGGCATACGTAAATATACTCAAAACTACGCCGGTTATATGAAATCGTACGCGTAAATACGCCAATTGCATACGCCGTAGGTACGCGGTGCCTATTTACATGATACATAACCATACGCCATCGTATGCCAGCCTACGCATAACCTACGCAGGGACTACGCCGAAGCGACATTTATTTCATGAATACGCAACTTAATTTCGGTGTAATCGGTACGCCACACTACGCAACCCTACGCAGATCCGATGTGAAAGGGACTTAATTTATATGACAATGGGGTGATCAAACATATTTTAGCTCACTTAAAATCAAACCTGCATGAAAATAACATGCATTTCCTTTTGATATCCACCTTATCAAAATAATGTAGAAAACGTAAAACGGGTAGAAAAATGGCGTCCAGTTTGTGGATGTTTAGTTATTAAACATTAATTCATATTTTACTTAAGAGCATTATAATAAATTTCATAATCATATCATATCAATGTTGCAGCGTACAAATATTTTGAGATTATCTTGGAACACTGAGTTGTAATTATTCAATGAAATACTTTATTAATTTATTTATTAGTGTGTTTAGGAATGAATTTATGAATAAAAATTGTGTTCATTCTTTTATCCATTCATCTATTCACACTCTCTTCAGCCAACGGTTGTTCTCTGGCATGCCCTATGCACTACCTACCCTAGACATGTATTCCAATTTCGAGAGATCCGAGTACTCAATAATCGATTTACTTCCGAGGACTTCGTCTACTTCATCTTTTAGTCTAGTAAAAAAAAAAAGGAATATAATATAACAGGAAACGATTATTTATGGTTAGCAATCCCACACAAGTTATACAAAAACAGTTGGATTTGACTTGTATATTACATTCTATTTTGCTTCTTTCCAGGTATCCATTGCGCTCCTGTTTGCCATCGATATTATTTCCCTCCTTAATATTTTATTTTCACTGTGATTTAAATACAAATAGTATGATTAAAGTCTCCAAATTCTGATCTACCTTAAATGAGCCAACAATATTGTTATAACACGACCCGTGCGATTTGTTAAAGATTATTTGTTTTCCTGCCTATTCCAGTCATGTTTGGTAATAATTGGTAAATTGATATTTATCGATGCTTAAATCATGATCGAAAAGATTTTCGAGATATAAACTTAAGAGCAGTTTTAATACGACGTTAGCCATGTTCAGAGGGGTCTTCTAAGTCGACGTAAGATAATCCCTGCAGCATTAAATATCTCATGTATTTTTCACTTACAAGTTACGTCATTAGTTGGCCACACCCTCTTACTCGGACCAACTTGCCACGATTAAGTTAACACAACCTTCCATCGACCCAGTCTGACTCAGCGTAACTTCCAGTAGTCAGGGGCGGATCCAAGATTTTACAAGGGGGGAGGGGCGTGAAATGTACGAAATTGATAGTGCAAAGCCTTCACGGTGTGGGGTAGGGCCCGCTTAAAGGGCCCCGGAAAATATTGAACCTTAAGATGCTCTATCATGGTACAATCTGTCGCATTTCTGAATGAGTAAACTGAACATAATTTATGTGATTTTTTTTAAAGGTAAAAAAGGGGAAGTGCGCCCCCTGGAACCGCCCTTGGAAGTGGTGGCACCCGCATCCAGTCGACCTCAACACACCTTCCTCATCTAAACCGTGCAAAATCTAATTTTCATTTTCGATAAGGTCACAGATACTCCGAGTGCCAAGTGAGAGCACCCACACGGTCAACTTACGCTACCCTCTAGTCGTGTTAGCGCGTTACTCCTGGATAAATCCAGGAGTAAGTCGGTCGGGGTAAAGGTAGGTGTAGCTAACAGGACCATCGTTCAGACGGTCACTACTTCGACCTTTACACCGACCTCACCATATCTACCCCGACTAGCTCTTAACACGACCTTTACCCCGACCGAAATTGCCATCGTCTGAACAAGACTATTGTATTGCCGAAAAATGTTCGTATCACGAAATATTTTATTGTCATGTTCGCGCCTTCCAGTAGGTAACACACAATGCCATTGAATATGCCTCAATTTGATTTAATGAGACTCTTATCGTGTTTTTTACTATGCAGATTATAAAAGTACAATGTTAGGTTGTTTTTTTACCTCTTAGCCACGTCTTTGTGTCTTCCAATCTCGAGTAAGGTAAATGCGAGGAGATTACTCGTTGTTTCGTGACCTTCGTATTGAACCACAATAAAGTTCAAGGTTATAAGCATATTACGTATCAAAATATTATGACATGGGTGATGTATAATAGCCTTATCAGAAGTATCGACCCCCATAAGTGTAGCCGTTCAGCATCATGCTATTGGACCTTTGGAGAGGAGAAACGGTTATCACTAGTGTCATGAGGAGGCAATGCCCTCTTCCCCGAAATGATATTGGCAAGTTTGTGATTCAAACCTTCTGTCGGAAAAATGAAATAAGAACAGTGGAACCTCGACAGAAAGAACACTGTTTAAACTCTCGTTAGACGGAGCAACGGAATTATGTCGATCCCACTGTTTGTGAGTGTTCATATTGCTATTTTTAGCCCTCATACAATGAAGTAATTTGCTTTGCCCAAATAAATTAGCAATATAACGAGATTTGACTGTAAACTGGTAAATTCGTTTAGCTTATGAAATGGTATAACAATTTTGAACAATTTATTGGTGAATTTTCTTAGTGGGCTGTCCATTCCTTCCCAAGCTGAAAAACTATGCCTAGCCAACGTTCATTGATGTGCCTCGTACATTAAACAAAAGGAAAAAAATGGATTGAAATTTTACGTTTACGTGCTATATAAGATGAAGAAAGCTATCATTGTGGTATTATTGACCCCATTTGTGTTTGATAACCCTTTATTACTTCGGCCGGTTTCATCTTGATTATAATCATCAAAAACTAATCCTTGAAAGAATCTTTACACTACTAAGAGACGAAGTATAACTAACTAACCAGCTAAGAAAAATGTCACGAACTCGTCGAGCAATTCTGCCATCTCAATCTTCTGGCCAACATCGTCCTCGGCTTGCAAAATACATGTCAGTATGTCCTTCGGCAACTCCTCGCCTTTCTTCTTTGCCTCTCTTCTCTTTTCGATGCAATCCTGGCCAATGTTTCGTACCAGTTTGACGGCGTCGCGCACTGATCGGCGATATTGGCGTGCTTTGCTGCGAGGATCAACCTGTAATTTGTAAAAATATTGATGATAATGTGATGTGATACGACTGTGAAGGCGTGTGCAATAACTTTGTTTGCAATTTATTACGTGGCTTAGCGAAATATAGTGTTACGAAAAGACTCGTCCAGAACTAAAATGCATAATTGTTGAAAAATCATATTTTTATGCCATTACAGTAAAACCATGCAAGTAGGACATAGACCAAGTAATCATCTCTTCAGCCTTGATTAGATTTAATAATACTAAAAAACATATTGAGACATGTCAAATCACAGGTTTTTATATAATGCCATTAAGAATCGTGCCCATTATGGATACGCCATTATTTGCCGCACTATCTCGCCAAGCTACTATTTAAAAATTATATATTTCACATATCAAAAAATAATGGCCCGTTTAATAAAAAAATGTACATTTCAAACGTATATTTACATGTGTTCATTTAAAAAAAAAAAATCAATCAAAAACAGTTACAGATATACAACGATTTCTTTCAAACGTCCACCGGCCTGCTACCCTGATTTTCTGCTTTCTTTTAGTCCGGATTTTCCGAGAAAAGAATGCTGAAAAAGCATACCAAAGTAAGGGGGTTCTGAAATGCAACGTTTATGCCTTGAAGTGCTAGCGCCACCGCTGACGGAAAGGGACAGTCGGAATTTTCGACGGCGTTAATATCCATGTCAAAGCCGACCTTTAGCAAAGAGAATGAATATGAGAAAATGGGAACAGGATCATTAACGTTATGTGTATTATCAATGAACACAAAACAAGAAATATGAACTCATATGCACAACGAATTCGTCGTATTATTCAGTTATATGAATGAAGGATAGCCTTTTTTCAATGATCATGCAGAGAGACAATGAAAGGAGAGAAGGAGTGGGGTGAGAGGTGGGGGGGGGGGGCGAGAAGAGAGAGTGAGAGTGGTTAATGAATAGGAGGAGGGGGAAATTAATAGCGGTTAGTGTTACCTTTCCAATGACATCCAGAGCGACATTATTGAAATGCTCCAACATTCTAACAAGCGTTTTGTCGTCGGCTAAGGGGATGAGATGATCTCGAAGACGGGTCGCACTCTCGTCGAAAAGGTCCATCATTTGCTTTAGATACCTGATAGGAATATATTTCGAAGCGTTCATTAACTGTTCTGTTTGCACTTCTGTTTTTCTTCTTCCTTCTGCTTTGCCATCATCATCAATCATTATCACTATCATCATCGTCACTATATCATCATCAACAGTAGCAGCACTCTCACCATCCTCTTCTTTTTTTCTTCTTTTTTTTTTTTTTTTCTTCTTCTTCTTCTTCTTCTTCTTCTTCTTCTTCTTCTTCTTCTACATCTTTTCCTTCTACTACTACAACTACTACCACTAGGCTACTACTTCTTCTACTACTACTACCACTACTACTTACATTACTACTACTGCTACTTACATTACTATACTACTGCTACTTCTACTAATACTACTACATGTACGTCTACTAGTAGTCTACTATTCCCATTACTACGGCGACTATGCGTTAGAGTACTACTACTACTACCACTACTACTACTACTACTACTACTACTACTGCGACTACTGCTACTACGACGACTGCTGCTGCTACTACTCCTACTACTCCTACTACTCTTACTGCTGTTATTATTTGTATTACCATCACTATAACTACAACTATGACTTCTACTACTACTACTGCTGCTTCTACGACTACGTTTACGACTGTTTCTACTACCGCTACTACTACTACTACTACTACTACTACTTCTACTCGACTACTATTTATATTTGTATTCATCGTCTTCTTTTCCTCTCTCTTTTTGTTTCTTGATTTTTGTTTCTCTCGCTTTTTCCTTCTTGATTTTCTTCTTTTCCATTCTCTCTGCATCGTTTAATTTTACTTCCTTTAATTTCCATTTTCTCAACCCTCTTTAACTTGTTGCTGCCTAATTATATGACACACACACATGAATGAATGTAAAATGCCACTATTTGTTAAAAATGTTAGCAAATGTTAGTAAAACATCGAACACCTTTTTAATACACAAAACACAAACAACTTCGGTCAACACTTCGGTTTAATGAACTTCTGGACCCTGTTTCATAAAACTTCTTATAAGCACAAAATGCTTAAATTCAATGACAAATTTGCTCTTAGCCAATCAAATGCAATGATTTCAGTAGCTTTTAACAGTGATTGAAACTTGCTATTGATAGCCAATTTTGTTAAACAGGGCCCTGATCTATGAACTTGGGAATACTCACTTGCGGTTGAAGGCAGGGTTTAGCAATGCTCGACGAGTATGCCACTTCTCGTGGTTAACTTCTGAGAGGAGCCCATATCCCATAAATCTCTCACCAAACACAGAGTGGAACCGATCATACAGAGAATGAGGCTTGAGATGGCGGCTGTCCAGGCTAACTTCCTGATGTTTAAAGAAATTATTAATAACAATAAGAAATATTATTTACTTTTATATTCTATTTATTCAGTTTTACTTTTACCGGGGTGGCTTCACTAGTGCTTTTGACGCTGCCTGAAAAGAAGGCCATCTAAATGAACAAAATCCATATAGACAGTGCAGAATACAGTAAAGAATTACAACAACAAAACGAACATAATAAAACAATTAACATACAAGTCAAAAGTTATCAAAAGTTATCATGAGAAAAATAACAAACTGTGACTATAGTGAGTATATTATCAAGAGTAAGTACTGAGAAGTAAAGTTAACGAAATGTGAAACTAGATGCAGTCTGCAAACATAATTGTGCGGGCTACAGCTGCCGGGTAGAACATCGAACAAAATGATGCATTTCATGGCTTTAAGAATCGGTGGGTTTGGAGTGGGTTCGGAGTCGGTGTGGCGTCGCTTTAGGATTCGGTGTGGTGTCGGTTTGGATTCGGCGTGGCATCGGTTTAGGATTCGGTGTGGCGTCGGTTTGGGGTCGATGCGGCGTCGGCTAGGAGTCGGTGCTGCATCGGTTTGGAGTCGGTGTGGCATCGGTTTGGGGTCGATTCGGCGTCGGGTAGGAGTCGGTGTGGCATCGGTTTGGGGTCGGTGTGGCGTCTGTATGGCGATGTGACTGAGGTATTATCTCACACCGATGAGACCGATAACACACCAAGAATCGGTCAGTCTGGAGATTGTTGTTAGACTCGTTATAGTATAAGGTTTCGTATAATCATTTCACATTTAATTTTCATTTCACTATTTAAAAAAAACATTTAAAATTCAAACTATATAAATTCCACCGAATTACAGTATATATCCTAAGACTATGATAAGATTGCAATGTAAGCAAAAGAGTTACAAAAAAGAGGGCTGTATTTGGTTTATTACCTTGACTGTTGGGGGGTTAGAGCAAAAAACCATTGGCTGTATAATGAATCGTACCCAGAAGACTGGTCCAAGATCTCTCGTCCTTTCAAATAAATATCAAATAATTCATAATAATTATTAGTTTATGCTGTCACAAATGCAAAAAAGGTCTTGTTCAGATATGACGTTAAGTGAAATAAGTGTCAAATTTCTGAGGCTCTAAGTTGCCATTCATTTACACGTATAAAGCTGCGTCCTTCTTTCCTTTTTGCGACGGTTAACCGCATCACATCTGAACGAGTCTGTAATCATTACAAAATCAAAGCAAAAGAAAAATATGCACTGCTCAGAATCTAAATGCGAAAGTGTATATTTTGCTGAAAACAATGTGAACTCAACAAGAACAAGAACTCAACTATCCCTTTAACCTTACCATCTGAGGCTTGTTAAGCTTACCATCTTTCACTATCTTTAACCTTACCGTCTTTACAATTACAATTTTTAAACTTGTATCAGGACAATCACCCCATGGACAATAACCCACATAAAAATTATCCTCCGGAAAACTACCCTCTAGGAAAATACCCAACGTGGATAATTACCCCCCGAGGAGTACTACCCCCAGAAATAATCCCCTACGACAATTATCCCCTCCCCCCCCCCCCCCCTAGGACACTTACCTCATTTAAGGGAAAGTACACCCCGGTAATAAGTTGGTTTTAATAAAAGCAGTTTTTCGGGGGTAATTATCCTCAGGGGGGGGGGGTTAGGGGGTGATTTCTAAGGTGGGTAATTATCCGGGAGGGTATTTTTCCGGAGGTTAATTGTCCTGGGGGAGGTTGACCATGGGGATAACATTTACATTCCGGGGTAATTGTCCTCGGGGGTAATTGTCCCGCTGGTAATTGACCGGGGTGATTGTTCAGGGGATAATTGTCCTAGGACCCTTCAAACTTAATCTTTAACCCTACCATCTTCGAATTACACTCTTTAAACTTACTATCCCAAACTTACTATCCTTAAAACTACCATTTATATACTTACTTTAAACTCACTATCTTATAAATTGCAATCTTTAACCCGTTGACAACTGAATTTTCTCATTCCCATATAGTTAACACAGGGACCACCCGGTTCTCGTAGCCAAAGTCATCTTTAAACTTATCATCTTTAAACTTGCTATCTTTAAATTTTCCATTTTTGAATTTACCATCTGTAAACTTACCACTGATGCAAAAGAGTCAGCACTGGAAATTCCATTTTCTTTGCAACAGCATTAATGGGAGACAAGTGACCAGTGAAGAAACTAAATTAACAAATGATAAAAACAGGATTAAAAGCATTGTATATTTCTTCCAACATCATATAAATTTTAACAAGTTTTAGTTTGATAGCGTAGTACTTCAGTTACTGTTTTATATAGAGCTGTACATAAGAACGTAAAAAACTAACATCGATGTTGTTTTATTATCTCCAAAATGCTTTCTCAATTTGAAATAAGAAAGTGGCTAGTAAAGAATAAAGTGACATTGAATTAAAATGATTAATAATAAATCATTCACTTATAGAGATAATTTGCCAAGGAATTTTTGGTACCCTCTCTTCAAATTGTTTTTAATCACTCATGCGTGAAAAATGCATCATATGAGTTGCATCAAATGTATCATTTATCAATTATAATTGTGATTGGATTATGATAAAGCAACGATAATTCTCGGTTTCGATTTTTAATGGGACGCTGCACTTTAAAGTATGTTTAGTGTGATATTTTGATAGTTTACGCATTACTCACAATTTCGGTATGCGCATTTCCATTTCATTAAAAGTATAACTTCATTTAGTTTATTTTAACTGTTTTACTCTGTATGAATGACATTCAATATGGCACTATGAACTGTAATGTTACATACACAGTAATTATACTTCCTTCTACATTTCCTTCTCTATGTGTTTGGCAAAATTTTCCCCATAATTCACCTGTTCCTGCTTTTTCTTTAGTTTGTTCCTTGACATTATATTTTGATTGATTGATTGATTGATACATAAAATCAACTTAAATATGTGGAACAAAGTAATAACATTTAAATGTAAATAGTTGTAAAATGAAATAGGGTGTATCAGTAAAAGCCTATGTGGCTTGACAAGTTGATACACCCATTACAAAGAGTGAACAAAATTATATATATAAATTTCAGGTTGCTGACGGTTACATACTAAATTACATTTAAAGGTAAAGACCAGTATTGGAAATGCCCAAATTTCAAAAAATGAAATGGAAGCTCTAATTACCATTCATGTGAAAGAATATTGTTTGACTAATACATGATGATACAAATTTTGCCGGGAAACCGCCTACTAATTGATATATTTGTTAAATTAGTTTATCTATTGGTGTGTGAGAGATAAACGCACGTGTCATGCACGTGTGTTTAATCCCATATACATCTTTCTGTGTACAGTGCTTGTAACTTTACGAAGACTGGGCCAAATTTCTTATCATTTTGATGATTCCAGAACCTTGCAGTACACACCAACACTTATATGCTAGAAGATCAAACTTTTCTGATCGATTCCACCACGTTTCTTTCACAATGCAATCGCATGACCATAACTGGTCTTTATTTTAACTTAAACTTACTGGGACAGTAAATAACGCTTGCAGGCGCGTACGTAGGGGGGGGGGGGTTGGGGTTAACCCACCCCCTTAACAAAACTTTTATGTGTGTATTATGTGTGTATTTTTGAGTAAACCTCCTCCCCCCTTTGTGGATTTAAAAAAAAAAAAAAAAAAAAAATTATGCCAATGGCTGAACTAAAAAAAACTGACCTTACCCCCCTACGGAGTAAAATGTCAATTTTTCAAATTTAGAGACCCCCCCCCCCCCGAAAAAAATAAAAAATAAAAGTGTCCCCCCCCCCCACCCCCAGATTGCATTTCCATATTGAGTATTCCGTATCAAAGGGGATAATGTATCTATCTATCTTTCTTTCTCTCTCTCTCTCTCTCTCTCTGTCTCTTTCACGCGTACTATTTGGCACCCCGGAGAGGGGGGGGGGGGGGGGGGGGGAGGGGGAGGTGAGATTATATAAATCGAACAAAGAAGAAAGTTATGAAATTTGAAACTCGAAATTGATAACTTTCTCTTTGTCAAGTTGGACATGATGTGTAATGCGTAGGCCAGGAGTTCTTACACTTTTTCTTTGACGGTCCAGAAGTGATTTCTATAAAAGCTATAAGGTCCGAAATGGCATTTGTATATACTGAAGACAAGGAGGCTTGTTTTGGGTCTACATCTGATCCGAGGAGAATTGTTACACTTTAAAAACACAGAGCCGACAGTGAAAAAGAAATTTTCTTAAAATGTTCAAAATGCCTCATACGTGGATTTTTTATTTTGTTTAATCGCTATGACGTTTGGATATATATATATATATATTAATTATTGAGTGGGCTTATTTTGCTTTCGAATGGATCCATACAACATGGCAGAGCTTGAAGGGCCAGTCAGATCCACTGTCGGATGTTCCGGGGCGGAGCACTGTCTTGGATGCTTTCAAGTTTATTTGACTTTTAAGAGAGAAATTGTCTTCAGAGAAAAAGAGATTATTTCTAAATTGAAATGAAATGGCTATTTGACTTTCAAGAGAGAAAATTGTCTTAAAGAGAGAGAGAGAGTTTATTTCTAAATTGAAATGAAAGGGCCCTTGAATGTCAAATAGCCCTTTTATTTCATTTGTGTGTGTGTAATTTGGTTTTTACAGACGTGTATCAATCAGATATGATTATTTACGTCTGGGGATCGACTTTTAACGTCACAATTCGAGAGACGTGACTCAGTTTGGAACCTGCGTCCTCGGCTGAATCAGTTTGTAACTTCCATTGTTAGCTGGATTACGGACGCACGCCACAGCACCTAGTACTAACCTCTAGCTCTTACAGACTCTTTTGAGATGGAATGTTCAATCTGAGGGCCTTTGTGCTTTTTGAGAAGAGCACACACTGGCAGTGCAATTTAAATTTCAAGTGATAGATTTATCGCTCTTTTAAAGTCATAAAACCCTTTCATTTCTTGTTATAAATAAACTCTAATCCACCCCCTGATATTTAAATTGCACTGCCCCTGTTATGTGCTCTTTTTAAAGAGCACAAAAAAGCCCTCGAATTAAACAGCAGAACACGCCCTTAGTACTGGACACAACATTCAATGGGATAGAGTTTAAAACGTACTTCTGGTCAAGAATGGTAGAATATGGTATAATACTAATAGGCATTCTTGCTATACATGTTACTCTCCTTCGCTCCAGTGATTTCGACAGCTTGAAATTGTGTAAATAATACAAGGTCCAAGGGAGTGGTTGTTACGATTTAACGACACTAGACTGACCCCGTGTCCACACACAAAAATTCCTCGTATAGCTATCCCGAAGCAGGATAGCCAAAGAGATACCAGCATTTCTTTGGGATAGCTATACCAAAGAGATACCAGCTGGTATCTCTTTGGCAATACGATGAAATTATGTGTGTGTACGCTTACTAACGATACGTCGTATCAAAGAGATACCAGCTGGTATCTCTTTGGTCGTATAAAGAAAACATCGTATAACCATGGAGATATGATTACATATCTCCATGGTATAACGAAACGCGGGTCTGGGCATCGTTTTGAACTAAAACTCGATAATTAAAGAGTCACGGGGTGTTTTGTTCATTCATTCATGTTTATTCGTCGTAACTGTCACAGCCATTTCCTTCTTTTTTCTCTCTCTCTCTCTCTCTCTCTTTCGTATCTCTTCTGTTTTCTTTTCTTTTCTCTTCTCCTTTCTTTTCTCTTCTCCTTTCTTTTCTCTTCTCCTTTCTTTTTTTCTCTTCTTTTCTTCCTCTTTTTGCTCTTCTTTTTTGTTTTTGCGCCGCCAATAAAAGGGAGGAACCGCGGGCCGTTTCGCCCCCCCCCCCTGGATCCGCCGCTTCTCCCTGGCATTTATACATCACACTTGCACTAAACAAAACGGCAAACAGCCGTTTCATCAACAAACATTTAATGTACGTATTTTTATCACTTTATAACTACAAGCCTACCTTCTAGGTCGTGGGCTAGGCAAATGTCCATATTTCCTGTTAACTCGGTACAGCAGCCACGAAAACACCATAAACGCAATACCAACGGAAGAGGAAATGACCAAGAGTGCATAGACTAATATTCTAAACCCGTCATTCAGCTCCATTTTAGATTTTCTTTCCAGCAGTGTAGAGAATATTCACTCGGTATATCTTGTGAATGTGATTTCATGCCAGCATATGTGGGGTGCATGTATGCATGCAACCCGTGACTTGCCTTTTGGCTTTTGTTCAAGAACAATAATAATAGCACAATGCGATCATCGGTCTAGTGGATTCTGTTATCTTAAAGGAAAGGAATTTAGGGGAATCAGTGGGGGGGGGGGGGGGGGGGGAGGGTTGACCAAATGCTACATTTTGAGTTTAAAGTGCGGGTTCATAGAAAATCACACATATGGCAAATATCGTATTACTAGAAACTGGTAAGCTAACAGATGGTCATCATGCAAGTTTCATGTCAACTACATATCGGGTGATTTATAAAAATACAAATAAAACAACCTCCATAGCATCCGGGATATACGAGAGATTCGCCGGAAAAATAACGATGTTTTAATGCCGTCACAATGGCGTCTTTTTTGTTTACAAGCGACGGATTCCCTTTTTTTGTTATCCTTGCATTTTTCATCAAAATAATACCATGCACGGGGTTTAGAGTGAGGCAATAGATTAAACATTTCGCCTGAGGGTATTGAAGTAAGAGAAATAACTGAAGAAAAGATGATAAAAACAGGCACTGAAATTGTGTGAGATGTCATGGGACATGGTCTGCTTGTGTAAATCATGTTCAACATGTGACGTCATATCTCAGCAGCGACCGGAGAACTTTTCAGGTGCTATATGTCAGGGCTGTATCTAAGCGTTTTGTAATTGTTAATAATCATTACTTCGAATGTTTCCAAGCATTGGCTTTTGATAACCTTGGCCAATCAAAGTGTCACCTTTGCAATAATGACATTAAAGTTAGTTTTTTTAAATCAATGAACCTTCTCTTTAAGATATGACTTCATATGCGCTTCGAAGACTAAAAAATAGTTGGAACTGCATTGTATTCATAATTTGATTGTCTGACTGTCTCCAGACGTCTTCAGATTGTTAATAGGGACTTTTAGATTTACACGACGAGAACGATGACCGCCACGTGTGACATCCTTTTAAGGTAATGTGACGTCCTTTTAAGGCACTGCCCAATGCCTTAACACAATAGGGACTTTTAGATTGAGTGGACGAGAACACGACGAACGCCGACTGATCATGCGTGTCAACGTACTCAACTGCCCATGTTGACTACAATTAGAAATCTTTTAGATTGCACTCGGCGATATACATGCATGCAGGAAGTAACATAATGAATATTATGGACAAAGAAAGAGGACAAAATATACAGTTCCTCATTCTACCCTCAACAATTGCTGTGGTAGAATATCCCTTCACTGCTCTTTTGTAAAAATGTGTAGAACAGGTGAATATGCATGTGACACCTGTTCTACACATTTTTACAATAGCAGGGAAGGGATGTTCCTTTGTCTACCTGAGGAACTTCATATTTTATGCGCACGCGGCATATACTATTACTCGATCGCCGACTGAGACGACGTGACGCATGCGCATGCAGTGCCTCAAAATGACGTCACACGTTGAAGTCAAAGCTGTCGACGTGAAAATCTAAAAGTCCCTAATATCACACGCGGCAGTCCACGCTCTCGTCGTGTAAATCTAAAAGTCCCTGTTTATTTAAACTTTAGAACCAAACTCTCGAATAAAAAATAAATAAAAAAATGAGGCGGACCAACAGAAGGAAGGAGGAGGGACGAGAAATTAGACATTAAATCTATTTGATGATGAAGTGACATTTCTAGCATAATAGTCTGGCAGCCAAGTCCAGATTATAGGACTAACCTTATTTTAGGGTACTCTATAGTGTTTTTTCTTCAATGGATTATGATTGCCTAAACCTTCTATTTAAAGAATTCGATTGCTGACACTGTGCCAGCCTTAAGCAATTTAAGATATATGACGTCATACAAAGTGACCGCCGAAGTACATGATTTTTCTCTAAAAATGTATAATAATTATATAATAAGGATTTTTCTACAATTTTGGGCAGCCAAATGTCTGTATATCTCTATGACCACCACTACAAAAATGTTTCGTGATGTTGCATTGCCATAGATGACAGGTTAATTTGCATATTATGAAACAGCGCCCTCTATAAACATTGATTTTGCATAAAATATGTGTGCCAGCCTCATGCCAATTTCGTAGATGTACGTCACGTTAAAAACATATAGTATATGCTTTGTATGGCTATATTACGATTCTACTGCATTTATCTTTCACCTTTTTGGTCTAAATTTAGATACATGTAAAGAATAAAATATGCCTACAAAAGAATGTTTATCGAATCAATGAGAAGTGGGTTTACGATATACATTATTGTTCTATCAATAGGCTTTATTTAGACCAGCATTGCTCCCGTCCAGCTTCGGTGAATTTGGATAAGCAGTTGACATCAGCACCAGACAGATGCATGAGGTTCAACAGAAATTACCTGGTGGATTATATAACACAATTTCCAAGAAAGCCTACAGTAGGTTCCTGACAGACATTGTTAGCCCTGATAACATATGTATAACCACTGGCGTACTGGTAGCGCCCCCAAATGAAATTAAACCATGACTTATTTTCAATAGACCTTTTCGTAGTTAGCACATGGGTCAAATTGACCCCAAATATCCACAAATCTTCTACTCATGGAGGAGTTCCACTAGTGTATTTTAGAATAATCAATGCTAAAGTCATTATTTGCTTCATGAAAACCTTTTGTTTGCCCTCTTGTACCGTGTTTGATAAAAGACACATTTGATTCATTGCCATTTATTACTGTTATTTGACTTCGCAAGTAAAAAATTAATCCTTGAACCACTATCATATTTTCATGAAAACCATAGAACTTTAATTTACGAATGAGTATATCGTGAGATACCATATCGAACGCTTTTTCGAGATCGAGTGACACTATACCGACGACATTACCAGTGTCGACGGCTGACCTAATATGTTCAATTAAATCTATTAATGCAAACGTGGTCGAATACTTAGGGCGAAATCCGGACCACCGTCTTTGTGCATTGTGCAGCAACTAAGCATATACAACGTCTCACGTCGTCACAGATCACTTTTCTCTAACTTCTAACCAATCAGAAGAATTCATTTTTTTCTCCAGGAAATGCCGGTGGACATTAAAGCGCCAAATGTGGTTCTTAAATTGCAAAAGATCCCTACTCTTGGAGGGGGGAGGAGAGAGCAATCTTACGTTTTAGTACTCCCGGAAATGTCTGAAAATGCGTGTAATGTGGTTCTAAAATTGCAAATGATTTCTACTCTTGGAGGGGGTCAGAACCTCCTCCCAGACCCACCCCTGCTAGGTCGCCCCGCTCCCTCGCCGCTAAAGCCTCACTATGTCACCTCATCGATTTACATATATTTCAACCCATGCCATTTTGTGCCCCCCACCCAGTAAGAAATTCCTGGTTCCGCCACTAATGCCCATACCCCTTGAGCTTCGAGGGCTCTGCCCCTTGACCCCCGCCGGGGCTTTGCCCCTAGACCCTCTTTGAAAAAACGTTCATCAGGGTCTGCATGGTCTGCCAACCCCCCCCCCCCCCCCAATAAAAACAAAAAAATGTTTTTGCTCATTACGCCACTGTGTACAACCCAAAGCGTTTCTGGTGTTTCATAAAAAGCAAGCGATGCGATGCTTCAGGTCTGGCTCCATTGAAATCATGTAATGGAATGACTTACTCAGACAGCCTCTCAAAGGCGAACATCCTAAGTCATCAGTGTTCATCCATCTTCAACTGCAATGAAGCTATGACTAGTCGGAGAGACAAAATACCACTCCTATACCCAACCATGGATCACATTACACATCTCCACCAAGGGTTCTGAAGATCCTGTCTGAGCTTGATGTTCATAAAGCCACTGGTCCTGACAGAATCCCAGCCGGATTTCTGAAGGCACTCGCCACCGAAATGACACATGTGTTCACTCGATTCTTCCAAACCTCCATTAATTTAACCAGAGTGTCAATAAAAGATGGCTAATATTGCTCCCATCTTCAAGAAAGGTAACCGTAGCAACCCAGATAACTACAGACCTATCTCTCTGACGTCAGTGACCTGTGCATTGCTGGAGCATATCGTTCTTAGCAGCATCATGACCTACCTTGGAGACCACAACATCCTGTCTGATGCACATCATGGCTTTCGAAAGAAACGACCCTGCATCTCCAAGCCCACCCTTGCTGTCCAGACTCGGACCCCGCCAAAGCCATTGATGACATTGAACAATCGGACATGGCACTCCTTGATTTCTCCAAAGTATTTGATAAGGTTCCCTATGGGGTACTATTTGTATATTCTAAATCATAAAGCCTGTATAGCACTATTTTATATTGTCAAGTGTTTCATTTGTTCATAATAAATAAGCAATTAATGTTTCCCTTTTTTTTTTTTATAAATTGATTGATTTCAAAAACTGAGGATACCTTCTTTTAAGTTCTACCTGTATGTAAAGTATTCATTTTAACTTTGTTCATTTGATTTCAGTTTTTACTTATATATTGTAGGTTAAATGACATCTGAGTTTGTTTTATGAATAAGCATCTGACCATGACAAGTCATCTTAATAGCATAGAATTAAAATAAATAGGACTTAAATCGTGCTTATCGAGTATGTTGTCATGCTCTTTATACCAGACTCATCATCACGATCATAAGCCATCGACAGTTCTTCATATATGAACTATAAATCGTGTTTCTAATTAAACCTAGAAGGATAGCGATCAGGAGAAAACATGATAGCTTGTCAAATATGAGAGTATTGATTGAGGGAAACAGGTTTTGATCTATTTATTACATTTACACAGGATTAATACTTTTTCATTATACACGCTACCACTGAACATTTCAAGAAGTAAAGGTCATTGACGTCATTCATCAATTGCCTTTTCTGTTGTCCTCATTACAAGTATGTTAAAAGTTATTTAGAAGTTTATAATTATTTATATTCATTTTAAAAAGCTTCAATGTAATCTTTGAAGTCTTTAAAATGCAAATAATCAACGAATTCATATCCAGATCATGTCAGAAGGTATTAAGAGTTTTATAAGCATTAAAAACAATGGCTAGTTCTTAGACAACTGAAGTTTCTTGATATAATCGAAGTGTTCTATGCTTTGTTAATATATATGAACAAGGTATACAGTTTATATTACGAAATCCATGCAAACTTATATTTTTTCATGAATAACGTCTGGAAAATATAAAAATCAAATGACATTTATATATCATTTGATTAAATAGATAACGTAATGAAATATTTACAAAAACATTCACGTTCTTGACCTGTAATGGATGGTTTTATTAAATGCTCTGCATGAATTATTCATGACTCATATTGCTCCGGTTGTCTCATTTTCGCTGGCTGGACGTATATAGCAGACGACAATCGGCGGATTAGACGACACTTGGTAGTGACTTTGTATGTGAGATTGCTTTGCTAAATATAAAAAAAAGAACATTTTCCATATCTTTAAACTATCATTAATATCTGATAATTAAACCGTTATTAAAATAAACCTACCAAACTACATTATACAATGAAATACTTGACTTAAAGTAGGGGAGTTTGATGTGGTTCACAATTGCACCCCTCTGTAAATGATCGAATAGTCCATGGTGATCATGAATATTCATGTTTTTGCTTACCTCGGCAAAATGTTTGATTTTACTAAATGGAAAAATTACGGGGGGGGGGGGGGGTTGGATGAAATGGACATAATGAACTAAGCAGAAGTGATATGTGAAAATTCATGCTTCTTATCCTTTGTGTGCTTGACCTATAATCTTACAATCGCTTGGCAAACTGAGTCCAAAGTTCGACTTGTTTCACATGTGTTATATAGGCAACGGCGAGCTTGCAACCTATTTTTATCAAATTACGGTGGGTGAACTTTCAAAAGTCAATGGGACATGATGGTCCCAATGAAAGAGCTAGTGATAACGTACGTCGGGTGGATGTGCTTTTCGTTTAAACAAAAAATGAATTTTTAGCGATTTTGGGGGTAAAATTCCATTGGCTTACATGTTAGGCTGCCGACTCCGACGATAGGGGGGCGTTGTCAAATGAGACTAAACGGAGCTATATGTTGGATTCATTGACCAATCACAATGGCCATTTCCCAGTTGATTTCGTTAGTTATACGTTCATTATGAAAAGGTAAAAGACGTAAACTGGTTTTGCGTATAAGATGAACATATAAATGATCAATACAAAATATCACATCCAAATCTATTTTACATGCAAAATTACAATAAAATAGGAAGCATTTGATGACTCGAGCTAACAATTGTAAGTGAGATAATTGGACTTTCCAGAGAATTCCAGTCGGAAACAAGGGTTAACATAAGAAATCCAAACCAGATTACTAAAGGCCACTTGGCTGGGCCACTCGCTCTGGCGTTTAGTCGCCCAGCGTCTATCAGACATGACGCCTTGGTTTGGAAGACGACACTGTGCTGTCCATACGGTGCCATTTCACTCCGCCATGTGGTTGGAAAGGTTGATACACTCAGTCTTTAGTCCCTGAGGCTGATGTAATTCTTGCATCCATCAATCGGTTTGTTGGTGACCTGACTCACAATGATATGACGCTGAGATTGCTCCAGTCTAAAGTCGAAACTCTGCAACAGTTTTGCCAATATCACCTTTGCTTCAATCTGCAAAATCAAAAACAGTTAGTCAATAGCGAAGGGTTTAGAGCAGTAGAAGTAGTAATAATGTAGTAGTAGTAGTAGTAGTAGTAGTATTAGAATTAACAACAGCAGCAGTAATAGTAGTAGTAGTAACAGTAAAGTAGTAGTAGTAGTAGTAGTATGAGTAGTAGAAGTAGGAGTAGTAGTAGTAGTAGTAGTATTAATAGTAGTAGTACTAGTTTACCTTTTAGTAGCAGTGGTAGACTAGTAGTAGCAACAACAGCAGTATTGATATTATAATTAGTAGTAGTGGTAGTAGTATTAGTAGTAAAAGTAGTACGAGTTGAAGTTACGAAGTAAAACTACTTTAAAAAATATCATAGTTATAAAAATAATAACTGTTGCTTAATACTAGCAAAAGTAACAGTACATTGTTTGCACTAAACACTTGACGAGTAAATTTATAAAACATAAACGACTTTAAATGTTTGTTTGTTATGATACTGAAGAAGATTAATGACTTGTGATATTTAATACTATATTGCCATTTGACTAGTATGTAGAGAGAGAGAGAGAGGGGGGGGGGGAAGACTTACTAGAGCTAATTGCTGTCCGATACAGTTCCGTTGCCCAATTGCAAAGGGAAAGTATGCAAAGAAGTGCCTCGGCCTGAAAAGATATTATACAAATATGATCTTCCACGTATAATGTATCGTTAGTTATGAGAAGAATGAATTATGATAATAATAATGATGACGACGATGATGGTGATAACAATAATGATAATATTAATAATAATAATAATAATAATAATAATAATAATAATAATAATAATAATAATAATATATAATAATAATAATAATAATAATAATAACAATGATAATGATGATAATGATGATGATGATGATAATAATAATAAGAAGAAGAATAAATATAAAATAATGATAATTAGTATTTAATGGGTGTTTGCAACTTTACTTATTATCTGTGAACGCTGAATAAAGCTGATGGAGATACGAATACATTTGCGTAATTACAGGGAACATGGGGAAAATTGCACCCCTTCCACCATCAAATGAATAAGACTAAAGGGAAGAAGGGGGAGAAAAAAGAGAAAGGGAAAATGAGAAGGGGCAAAGGACAATAAAAGAAGAAACCTGGACCACCCCCCCCCCCACATATCTCCCCCTAATTTATTTCCGAGTTAAACAGGTGCCCCCAATTGTTCTAGTGCATGCCTCCTTAACGGTTGGACTCAATGGTTTCAATGAGGAACCATATTCAAGGGAAATAAATATATGGTCTTTATAGATAAGTGATCGCTAAATCAGGTTTGACTGTACTATTCCAAGGGCGACGGGGGTAAAACGAAATCTGGCAAAACCTACCCTGATTAATTCGAATTAACATTAGTGTAATCGGTAGCATTTCTTTTTCTTAAATGAAGCTCATACATGCACACGCATTATCAAACTAGGGCCGTACTTACAAAGAATTCGAGTGGCTCATGTGAGCTTATAAGGTCATGATAGTCAATATACTCACGTTTCATCAGTTGGAATAAATCGATCAGGATTGAATAGAAGAGGATCATCGAAATACTCTTCCAATCGTGACGTCAGGTAGGACAAGAACTGCATCGAGAAAGTCATGTCATAAGAATTTAAAACAAAATAGCTTTCCAAAGTCATAAGATACAATTAATCTTACGTTATGTTAATCTTGGAATGGCATTTTCAAAGAATATAATAAAGCTAATACTAAATGTTTAGAAATGCAAATAGACGTTGATCTACAAAAAGACCTTCGGAAGGAATTCGTAGCAGCTGACTAATGACGAAATAAAAGTAGGCAGAATTGTCGTCCCAACCGTTTCAAAATGTTAAATTTATCTCCATTTTTAACCTGAGCTCAACCGTTGGAACAAATCATCCGCAAATCCGTTTCCCACACAAAGTATTAGAAGGTAAACATGAAACATAAGTAAATTCATAATGCTCAGTAACGCTGTATAACATCTGTAATGAATTAGATAGTCAAGTATGTATATTTCAAAATATATTTGGGAGGATTTTTTAGGCTATGTCACTGACGAGCATACGCTAGATCTTAACAGTTACCCATTTGAATAATGTCCTTGGCAAGGCATTAATTTACATTTGACATTCGATACCCAAGAGAGAAATGGGGACCTGTTAGGATGACGAAAGCATTCAATGCTTTAAACACCAATTTGGTGTTAGTAATTGTCTATGCCCTGACGGTGACCATAATTATGGAAGGAATGCTCCCAAGGGTGTGGAGATGGTGCACATTGTGCGTGAATGAATCCGATGACCAGGGGTTATAATATCTGTAAAGCGCTTAGAGACGGTATTCCGTATCAGGCGTTATATAAATCCAGATTATTATTATTATTATTATTATTTAATATCTGGGTAGAGAGAAGCAACCGAAATAAAATGCTTTGTGACTATACCTACCAGTACAGATGCCCCCTTTGGGATGACGTAACCACACGATTGAACATCAGAAGCAAGCTCACGGCTTGCACCACTTACAGGTGGGTTAAGGCGCATTGTTTCTTTAAAAACCTACGAAAAAGAATGAAATGTTAAAATGTGGACATTTTATTTTACTGGAAATGACACGTGGCCTTTAACAAAAAAATATGTATTCCTTTCTTGATTTCTTCACTCATGTATTTGAATAAAATACAAACAGGCTACCAGAGGTCCTGTGTGATATAAACAAATAAATGACTATATATATATATATATATATATAATTATACAGTACATGCGGTGATATAAACTATGGGAAACCCTTAGACTTACGACGATGGGGTGATAAAACATATCTTAGCTCTCTTAAAATCAACCTGCATGAATTTACATGAATTTCCTTTTGATTTTCACCTTCACAGAATGATGTAGAAGAAGTAAAAAGGGAAAAAGTAGCATTTAGATGTTTGTTTATTAAACAGTAACTCCTATCTACTTAAGAAAATCATAATCATTTTCATAATCATATCATCTTAATGTTGCAACGTAACAATATTTATGGATTATCTTGAAACACTGAGTTATTAGGAAATATTCCTATTTGGGTTTAGTAATTATTCAATGGAATACTTTATATATTTATTTATTTGTTTATGTATTAGTTTGTTTGTTTACCAATTCATGAATTAATTAATCTATGATTTTCTTAATTTATTTATCGATTCATTTATCATTTTTTTATCATTTTTTTCTTTATACATGTATTTTTGTTTGTTTCTTCAACAGGAAGACACTATCTTCAGCCAACGGTTGTTCTCCGCCATGCCCTATGTACTACCTACCCTAGACATGTATTCCAATTTCGTGAGATCCGAGTGCTCAATAATCGATTTACTTCCGAGGACTTCGTCTACTTCATCTTTTAGTCTAGTAAAAAAAAACGGAATACATAACAGGAAACGATTACTATCATGGTTAGCAAACTCACACAAGTTATACAAAAACAGTTGGATTTGAGTTGTATATTACATTCTCTTTTGCTTCTTTCCAGGTTTATATTGAGCTCTCGTTTCCATCGATATTATTTTCCCTCTTTGTATTTTGCTATCCCTCCTTTATATTTTATTTTCACTGTGATTAAAACACAATTAGTATGATTAAAGTCCCTAAATTCTGATTTTAATTCCCTGTAAATCTAAAGTTGCACATATGGTACCTCTAAATGACGTCAACAAAACTTTTATAACATGACGCGTGGGATTTGCTAAGATATATTTTCTCCTGCCTATTCCAGTCATACTTGGTAATAATTGGTCAATTGATTTGTATCGATGCTAGAAACGTGATCGCAAAGACTTTCAAAAAATCAAGTTAAAGTGACTCGGTAACATTGCCTCAGAATCTGAAACAAAATCCTGGATTTAGCTCATGCTGCAATCATAATTATAAACCTTAAGGTCAGTCTGGAATCCCATGACTTTTACAAGCCGATCGCCTGTCTGATTAACAAGCTATTTATGATTGGAATTCTAAAATTCAAAAAACCGTTTCCCAACGTTTTTTTTTATTACATCACAGTCTATTGGGGAAAACAAGTATGGTAAAACCGGTCACTCAAAGATTTTTATTTTTTGAGGCACTTTATGATCATTTTGAAGCGCAATTTTTGTTTAGGGCTTCATTATTACACCATATCACAGCTGTAGGAACATCAACGAACCAATATCTCAGCTTTTACTCTTATCACGGGAAGAAGAAACCTGGAAGACCTCATCTTACCTATACAGACCTACTCAAGAAGGATACGGGACTTGAACTGTCAGAGGTAAAAGCAGCCATGCTGGACAGGAATGTGTGGAAGGCCATCACAGCTCGGGCAGTTGACCCGACTTAAGCAAGTAAGCAAGTAAGCATATCACAGACACTGATAACATAGGGCCATGCAATGTTCGTACCACGTTATATTAGGGACTTTTAGATTTGCACGTCGACAGGTTTGACTTCAACGTGTGACGTCATTTTAAGGCACTGCGCATGCGTCACGTCGTCTCAGTCGGCGATCGAGAATGCGTAAACATTGATTTTCCTACATCTAGTACGGTACTAGTATATGCCGCGTGCGCATAAAATATACAGTTCCTCAGGTAGACAAAGGAACATCCCTTCCCTGCTATTATGTAAAAATGTGTAGAACAGGTGTCACATGCATATTCACCTGTTCTATACATTTTTACATAATAGCAGTGAAGGGATGTTCTACCACAGCAATTGTTGAGGGTAGAATATGGAACTGTATATTTTGTCCTCTTTCTTTGTTCGTCATGTTCATAGTGTTACTTCCTGCATGCATGTATATCGCCGAGTGCAATCTAAAAGATTTCTTGTAGTCAACATGGGCAGTTGAGTACGTTGACACGCATGACCAGTCGGCGTTCGTCGAATTCTCGTCCACTCAATCTAAAAGTCCCTAATATTGTCATGTTCGCGCCTTCCAGTAGGTGACACACGAGGCTATTGAAATGGCCTCAGTTTTATTTAATGAAAGTCTTCGCAATCGTGTTTGTTTCCATGCAGATTATAAAATACAATTGTAGGTTGTTATTTACCTCTTAGCCACGTCTTTGTGTCTTCCAATCTCCAGTAAGGTAAATGCAAGGAGATTGCTCGTTGTTTCTTGACCTTTGTATTGAACAACAATAAAGTTCAAGGTTATAACCATATTACGTATCAAATTATTATGACAAAGGGGATGTTTAATAGCCTACATGACATTCATATATGAGGTTATAAAGACTCCCTGTTTGTTTGGGGCTATTGTACCAGTCTTTTCAGAAGTATCGACCCCCATAAGTGTAGCCATTCAGCATCCATGCCCTTTGGACCTTTGGAGAGGGGAAAAGGGTATCACCAGTGTCATGAGGGGGCCAAATGTCCTCTTCCCCGAAAATATATTTGGAAGTTTGTGATTCTAACATTCCATCGGAAAAGTGAAATAAGGAAAGTGGAACCTTTTTTTATAGAAAGAACAATGTTTTAACATACTCCTTATAACAAGGGAATTATTACGGTCGCACTTTTGATTTTGTGTTCATATTATTATTTTTAGCCCTCATACAATGAAGTAATTTTGCTTGGTCAAAATGAGTTTGCAATATAAACGAGATTCAACTGTACATTGGTTAATTTGTTTAGCTTAGGTACTGGTTTATCAATTTTGTTCAATTTGATGGTGAATTCTCATGGTGGGCTGTCCCTACCTTCCTCCCCAACATGAAACAAAAACATAGCTACGCCAATGTGCATTGATGTGCCTTGTATGTTATACATAAGGAAAGAATTTAATTTAATTTTTACGCATAGGCTATGTCTATATAATATGAAGAAAAATATCTTTGTGATATTGACCCCATTTGTGTATGTTAACCCTCCATTACTTCGACCAGTTCCATCTTGATTATAATCATCACAACTAATCCTTGAAAGAATCTTTATACTAAGAGACGAATCAATGTATTACTAGCTAACCAGCTACGAAAAATGTCCCGAACTCGTCGATCAAATCTGCCGTTTCAATCTTCTCGCCATTCCCGACATCGTCCTCTGCTTGCAAAATACATGTCAGGATGTCCTTCGGCAACTCCTCGCCTTTCTTCTTTGCCTCTCTTCTCTTTTCGATGCAATCCTGGCCAATGTTTCGTACCAGTTTGACGGCGTCGCGCACCGATCGGCGATATTGGCGTGCTTTGCTGCGAGGATCAACCTATAATTTGTAAAATATTGATGATAACGTGTGTGATATGCCTGTGAAGGCGTGTGCAATAACTTTTTTGCAATGTATTACGTGACTAAAGTAGTACGAAAAGACTCGTCCAGAACTAAAATGCATAATTGTTGAAAAATCATATTTTTATGCCATTACAGTAAAGTAAGACACAAACCTAGTAATTATTCTGCCTTGATTAAACTTAATAATACTAAAAAAAAACATTATTGAGACAAGTCAAATCACAAGTTTTTATATACGAATGTCATTAAAATTTGTATACATTTCAAATGTATATTTACATGTGTTTATATGAATAAAAAGATACAATAAACAGCAACTAATACAATTCAAAAAATAAAAAATAGTTTAAAAAAAGGGTTATATACAACGATTTCGTTCAAAAATTCACCAGTCTGCTACCCTGATTTTTAGCTATCTTTAATAGCATTTGTTTTGATTTTCCTTGAAAAGACTGCTGAAAAAGCATACCATTAAGAGGGGGTTCTTAAATGTAGCGTCCATGCCTTGAAGTGCTAGCGCAATCGCCGACGGAAAGGGACAGTCAGAATTTTCGACGGCGTTAATATCCATGTCAAAGCCGACCTTTAGCAAAGAGAATTAATATGAGAAAATGGGAACAGGATCATTAACGTTATGTGTATTATCAATGATAACAAAACAGAAATATGAACTCATATGCATACAATAAATTCGTCGTATTATGCAGTTGTATCAAGGAAGGTTAGCCTTCTTTCAATGATCCGAGAGACAATGAAGGGAGAGAGAGAGAGAGACAGAGTGGGAGAGAGAGAGAGAGAGAGAGTGGGGGGAGAGGGAGAGAGAGAGAGAGGGGGGGGGGGAAGCGAGAATAGAGAGTGGGTGTGGTTGATAAGAAAGGGGAGGGAAACAGTGTTACCTTTGCAATGACATCCAGAGTGACATTATTGAAATGCTCCAACATTCTAACAAGCGTTTTGTCGTCGGCTAGGGGCATGAGATGATCTCGAAGACGGGTCGCACTCTCGTCGAAATGGTCCATCATTTGCATTAGATACCTGATAGGAATATATTTGGAAGCGTTAACTAATTTTTTTTCTGTTCACCCTTCTGTTCATCCTCTTCTTTCTCCTTCGACAACATTACCATCACTAACGTCATCACTATCATCATCATCATCATCATCATCATCATCATCATCATCATCATCAGTAGCAGCAGCACTGTCACATCCTCTTCTTCTCCTTTTTCTTTTTCTTCAGCTTTATCTTTTTCCTTCTTTTTCTTCTACGTCTTCCTCTTCTTCTTCTCTACTACTACTACTACTAATACTATTACTATTAATACTACTACTATTACTATTACTACTACTACTTCTACTTCTACTACTACTACTACAACTACTACTACTACTACTACTACTACTACTACTACTACTTCTATTACTACTACTACTACTACTACTACTACTACTACTTCTATTACTACTACTACTACTTCTACTACTACTACTACTGCTTTTTCTACTATTACTACCACTACTACTTATATTACTACCACTACTACCTTTATAACTACTACTGCTTTTACTACTAAATCTACGACTACAACTATAACAACTTGTAGGCCTACTACTGCTACTTTTACTACTACTACTGCTGCTAGTAGTCTTATTATTATTAACAATACTAATATAACTACGCATTCGACTACTACTTCTACTACTACTACTACTACTACTACTACTACTACTAATAATAATAATAATGATAATATTGAACATTTATAATGCATCATGTCTGTCAAAAATGACACTCCTGGCTCATTTATGTGACCATTGTATAATTGTGGGCATACGACCATCAAGTGATTCAAGAAAGAAGGTAAAATGCCCATAAATTAAAGTTAAACATACTTCAGGGCATAATTTTTCAATAATAGAATTACAATAAAAAAAATTAAAAACCTAAAAGCGTGGTTACGTAAGCTTGATACACAGGTATGAATTGAAACATATAGGATATACTGTCGTTAATATCCAATACAATGCATATTAAAGTAATAAAAGTTATATAAGGGTAGTACAATGTAAGACATAATTAAACAAACTATTACTACTCCTACTATTACGACTGCTACTACGATAACGATTACGACTGATGCTGCTGCTTCTTCTACTACAACTACGACTAAGACTTCTACTACTACTGCTGCTTATGCGACTAAGTTTACGACTGACACTACCACCACCACTACTACTACTTCTACTACTACTAATACTCGACTACTATTTATATTTTCATTCATCGTCTTCTTTTCCTCTCTCTTTTTGTTTCTTGATTTTTTTTTCTCGCTTTTTCCTTCTTGATTTTCATCTTCTCCATTCTCTCTTCAACGTTTAACTTTACTTCTTTTATCTCCATTTTCTTCACCCTTTTTAACTTGTTGCTGCCCAATTATATGACACACATGAAGTACTGTAAGTTAACTTATACGTGTTGATTCAAGTAATAGGTGTCTCCTGCCTGTAAATTGAGATAAATATTGAGTTTAAAAAATTGCACTACTTCACACATGTTAGTAAAACATTGAACACCTAACACAAAACACAAAATAATGAACTTCTGGACCCGTTTCATAAAATTTCTTATCAGTAGAAGATGCTTAAATTCTGTGACAAATTTGCTCTCAGCCAATCAAATGCAATGATTTCAGTAGCTTTTAACAGTGATTGACACTTGCTATTGAAAACAAACTTTGTGAAATAGGGCCCTGATTTATGAACTTGGAATTACTCACTTGCGGTTGAAGGCAGGGTTTAGCAATGCTCGGCGAGTATGCCACTTCTCGTGGTTAACTTGTGAGACGAGCCCCAATCCCAAAAATCTCTGACCAAACACAGAGTAGAAGAAATCATACAAGGCACGAGGCTTGAGATGGCGGCTGTCCAGGCAAACTTTCTGATGTTTAAAGAAATTAATTATAATAATAATGAATATTATTAACCTTTATATTCTATTCATTTAGTCTTTCTTTTACCAGGGTGGCTTCACCAGTGCTTTTGACACTGCCTGAAAAGAATGCCCTCTACATGAACAAAATCCATATAGACAATGTCATAAAAGATACATCTAACATTACCAACAAAAAACACCAAAACAAATGAACACAATAAAACAATTAACCTAGTCATAATATCAGAGAAATATAACTAACTATGACTATAGTGAGTCAGGGGGGGGGGGTCAATCCTTTTTAAAATGTGGGGGGACGATGGAGTAAAATATGAAGAGGCGTCGGTTTGGAGTCGGTGGGGCGTTAATTTGGGTCGATGGGGCGTCTGTATGACGATGTGACGAGAATCGATCAGTTTGTAGATTGTTGTTAGACTCGTAATCGTATAATGTTTCTATCATTATTTCACATTTGATTTTCATTTCACTATTTAAAAAAACATTTAAAGATAAAGTTGAGTTCTGGTCATGCGATTGCATTATAAAAGAAAAGGTGTGGAATGAATCTGAAAAAGTTGACCATGTAGCATGTAAGTATTGGTGTGTACTGCAAGGTTCTGGAGTCATCAAAATCATAATAAATTTGGCCCAGTCTTGGTAAAGTAACAAGCACTGTACACAGAAAGATGTATATGGGACTACACAAATGGTTTCGGGGCTACTAACCTTGATTTCCTTATCTTGCTATGCTCATTACTCAGTCAGTATACATTTTCTACCAAAATTGTTTGGCAGATGACATTTATTGGTAATCTTGAACATTCAGTGTAAGTTTCGTTTGATTCTGTAAGAATTAATTTTATTTTTTTATTAGAACTCAAGTTTATCTTTAAATTTTAAACCATATTAACTCCACCAAATTACAGTATAAATATATCCTATGACTATGATAAAATTGCAATGTTTATAAAAATAGATTTATTACCTTGACTGTTGGAGGGTTAGAGCATATGACCATTGGCTGTAATATGAATCGTATACAGTAGACTGGTCCAAGATCTCTCATCCTTTCAAAGAAATATCAAATAATTCATAATAGTTATTAGTTTATGTTGTCACAATTACAAAACGGAGTTATAACTTTTTTCATATCTAGGTTCGCCATAGCGATTAGCCTAGCCGCGCCGTAGCCATGCCGTAGAGCGGTTCCATGGGGACCGTACGTCGGGCGTACGGTAGCCTTGCGTTTTATATACTCCAGGGGTGAAGTGGTAGCATCAGTCTGGCCGCACGGTCGCCGTACGGTCACCCTTCGGGCGCCTTGCATGCGCCTTGCGGCTACCGTACGTCTACATTGCGTATACTCTGCGTCTTCCTTGCGTCTACCTTAGTATTTGTCAAAAAGCTACGGCCGCCGCAGGGACGCCCTAAGGTGACCGTTCGTCATCACTTCAAAGGCCGTACGGCAGTCGTAGATTGTATGTCTCCACACATTCAAAATACGCCGTGCGGCTCCCCTAACATAATTATGTGACCGCTTCCGTATGTGACCGTGGGAATGCTGCGGCGTTCCTTTAATTGCTATTGGCCGTAGATATTTTAGACCGCACGGCCGCCGCGGCAAATGTGACCTAGGCATAAGCGTATCAAGTAAGACAATTACCTCCCTTTACTCCCCGAGTACAATTACCCCCCCCCCCCCCCCCCCGTTCATTAAAGGGGAAGTACACCCTGATAATAAATTGGTTTTAATAATAGCAGAATTTTCGGGGGTAATTGTCCTCGGGGGGGGGGGGTGGGCTGATTGTCCAAAGGGGTAATTTTCCGGGGGGTTAATTGTCCCTTGGGTAATTGGTCGGGGGGTGATTGTTCAGGGGGCTATTATCCTCGGACCCCTAAACATACTATCTTTAAAATTACAATATTTAAACATAATATCTTTAAATTTATGTTTAAACTTACCATCTTTAACCTTATCGTCTATAAACTTACCATCGTTAAACTTATCGGCCCGAATTTACAAAGGAGGTTTGTCGACAAACCTAGGTTTATGTGCGTCATATGACGCGTTTCGGTGCGTTTCAGACCAAGGTTCAGACAAATCTAAAACGCGTCAAAACGCGTCAAAACTCGTCATACGACGCACAGTAACATAGGTTTGTTTACAAACCTCCTTTGTGAATTCGGGCCATCATCTTTAAACTTGCTATCTTTAAATTTTCCATCTTTAAACTTACCATTGATGCATTAGAGTCAGCGTTTGCATATCCATCTTCTTTGAAACAGCATTAATGTGAGACAAGTGACCAAAGAAGAAACTAAATTAAGAAAAAATAGAAACAGGATTCAAAACAATTGCATAATTTCTTCCAACATTATTATTTTAACAAGTTTTAGTTTTACAGCGAAGTATTTCAGTAACTATTTAATTAATAGCTGCTACACAAGAACGTTTACACTAAATTGATGTTGTTTTATTGTCTTCGAAATGTTTTCTCAATTTGAACTACATAGAAAGTGGTTACTGTCTATTTTTGACATAAGCTTATTTATTAAATCTTCATTCTGGCGATTTTTTAATCAATATTCAAATCTCTGTGTCACTTTACTTTATAAGCATTGCATCATTAGTCTATGGAATACCGCATTGTAATTTCTTTAAAAAAATAAAGTGAAATTGAATTGATCAATAGTTAACCATTCACTTATAGATATAATTTGATGTTAATATATATAGCATCTCATTACATACACTGTAGGAATATTGAAGGGAATGAAATGAGTCTTTCCATATTAATTTGAGACTTGTGACTGGACATTATAACCCAAACCATGAAGTCCAAATTTGAATAAATCATTATTAAAAGCTGAATAAATATTTCGATGTGATAAGTTCTTCACACCATTACTGTATGCGTCAAAATTCTGATATGAAATATACTCGTTTATACAAACTGTTATATATATGTTATATATTTATTCATGAATATATTTATACAAACTTAGTATTTTATTCAATATCTGTGTTAGTGCACTGAGAAGGTAATTTCAACGCTTTAAGTCAAAAATTATTCGATACCAAGCAAACTGTCGTCGTTGTTTTTTTAATAATACAAACCGTCAACATGATTTTGATTCGCTTGGGATTATAATCAATTTTGTTATTTTTGTCATAATTTAAAAACTAAAAATTCCAGTTGCTACATCTTGTATTCACTTACATGTACATGTAGAATGAACATCATATTATGAAACGACATGACAAATGTAGCTACACCGAAAATTCATATACTCTGACAAGCAACAAAATTACACACGCATGTAGAACAGCATAATTTAAAGGCATCGTTTAACAATGTTAAATCTTAGACGCACGGCCCTACGTGCTGCAAGTGTCTGTGATATGGTGTAATATTGAAGCCCTAAATTTATCGCGCTTTATATATAATGATCAGGAAATTAAAAATCCTTGAGTAACCGGTTTTATCATACTCGTTTTTCCAATAGACTGTAGTGTTATGAAAACCGTTTGGCAAACGCAAAATTTGGTTATGATGTTCAATCATAAATATCTTGAAAATCAGACATGCGATCGGCTTTTAAAAGTCATGAAGTTCATGACTGACCTAAAGGTTTATAATTATCATTGAGCATGAGCTAAATCCAGGATTTTGTTTCAGAATCTGAGGCAAAGTTACCGGATCTCTTCAATAGAAGCGCCTAGAGAATATCTTGATATGGAGGGGAAGTGGAGTATTGTGGAGGGGAAGTGGAGTATTGTGCAGGCGGGAAAGGGAGGAGCTAAAACATTCTTTCTGCTTTTTATGCCAGAAGGATTTCGAAAAGTTCAAGAACTTACAGATTTGCCAACGGAGAGTTTGAAAGGGGTCACAGAGTCACAGGGTCATTACACATTCATACACTCACACCCACGGTATATATATATATATATAGCGGAGATATGTGCACAAACACACATATACATGTATATTGACATATATACATATATACATTATATGCTGTATATAATTATATACAGCGAGAGTAAAGGTTTTTTTTTAACAGAACGTTGCAGTGATTCATAATGTTAAAAGTACATACCAGTAGTGTAGAAATGATATATGACCATGTTATATTTAATATATAAATATGTTTATGTATGTATGTACTCAATATTTTGTATGTATGATATCCGGGTACATGTGTGTGCGTGTTCGTTAGTTTACGTTAGGGAGGTGTTACACTTCCCTGTTTACGTGTTAAAAAGTATGAATACAAAATATATGGTCTCATATCTTTTCTACACTAGCTACTGTTATATATATGCACCTTTCACGTCGTGAATTACCGCCGGCCGCCTGCGTACCACGATTCTGTTCAAGAAATCCCTCTACTCTCGCTGTAATGTACATGTATATACAATGTACACAATGGCAATAGGATAACAGCTAGGTCTTAAATATATTTTTACGGGTCATATTCTGGTCTGTTTACTAAAGGGAAGGGACCTGTGCTGATCATTATTCTGCTTCTAATATAAGTTTACATTATTTAAGCTCATTCCCAGATGAAGGAAAACCTACTACACTCCCTGCCATTTATACAACACACTACACTGAGCAAAACGGTAAACAGAAAGCGATCCATTGGTTCATAGTGCAGCTATATCAGCAACAAACATTAAAGTACGTTTGTTTATCAATTAATAACTATTAGCCTACCTTGTAGGTCGCGGGCAAGGCAAATGTCCATATTTCCTGTTAAATCGGTACAACAGCCACGAAAACACCACAAACGCAACACCAACGGTCGAAGTAATGACCAAGAGTGCATAGAGTAATATTCTAAACCCGGCATTCAGCTCCATTTTAGATTGTCTTTCCAGCAGCGCAGAGTCGGACCAGAGAGCATTCACTCAGTATATCTTGAGAATATGATGTTATGCCAGTATGTGGAGCGTATGAATGTACCTTACTGAGATCCGTGTGTTGAGTTATAACCGGCCCGTTCACCCGAGTCCAGTTGCGTTGATCCGTAGACATTTTTGCTTTTGTTCAAGAACGATGACAATAGCACAATAGGTGGAGAGTCGGCCCCATGCATGGTAACAATTTGATTTAAGGTATGAATTCATTTATCCGTGCGGTATGTGAGGATTCGGGGTACCACTAAACAAAACAAATTTTCTGTACAATTCTAAAAAAGGATTGACGAGCCAGCACTCACAATTGGCAGCACTCCGTCAGTTAAAACATTGAGGATAAGGGAGAAAAAGAATACCTAAATATTGGAATGATAAACTTTTCAAAAAATGTCCTTTTGAAAATTTGAATGCTAAAAATCAAACTCGCGTGTTGAATTTTTATTGAGTTCACTTAGGAATCATATGGTATTATTCCAAGAAAAACTGATTAAACCTATTTTCTTGCTCAAATCTGTCGAAGATGAAGAGGAGGAGGGGCTATATGTTAATTGATATTTAATGAACAAATTGGAAACATATGCGATCCTACAATATTCAGTGATCGTTGTCGCAGTTGAAATCGAGTCTAAAGTTATGAAATTGTGAACAATAAACTCTTTATGTTGTATACCTCCCTCTCAAGATCAAGATATTGATTAAGCTATAAAACAATGTTTCTTGACTCAAATCGACCAATTAGTCAATCCCGTTTGGAGATTTTCATGGTCACAGCTACCATTGTACGGCCGTAGGCGCTATTTGAAATTTATCATAATTTACCGGGAGCACCGGTAAATTTTTATATTAAACTTTTCCCGAAAGCAGAAGTGTTTTAGGGGCTAAATTGTCTAAGGGCATCCAAATATATCAACATTTTAAAGAATCACTATCCACCCATTTTTTTAAATTTCCCAAACTTTGTATTACCTTTAATAATTTTATTGTCTGACTGTCTTCAGCTCGGTATATATTTCAACTTTAGAACCAAACTCTCGAATAAAAAAAATAGAAGAAATGAGGCGGACCAACAGAAGGAAGGAGGAGGGACGAGAAATTAGACATTAAATCTATTTGGTGATGAAGTGTTATTTCTAGCATTATAAAATGCCATAAGTTTTCACTTGGTTGCAAAACTTAGATTCCCCAAAGTTGATATTTTCTCAGCCCCCCTCGAGAAATCGTACCCGTATGTTTTTTCACCTGCTGTTTATCTTTTAATGCGTGTCTCTTAATTTATACACATTGAGTAGGTTAATGAATTCTAGACTATATATAGCTTCGGTCACAACTTCCGATTGCTTTCACAACACTTCCCATCTTTCCGTTCAACGCAGATTAGGGGATTGGGTACTCCATTTTTGTCGAAGCCTTGGAATGAATTCATCCTTCTTACCCGATATAAATAGCAAAAAAAAAGAGTTTTGTGGGTGAGATTACCTGATTGTATTGTTTGTGAATCAGGCGTACCCTACACAAGCGTATGCTTACTGGCATCAGGCATCCTTTCTTGCTTGCCGGTGTAAATGTTTAAAAATAAAACAGACGCAAGCTCTGTAACAGTGGAAAACATTTCTTCCCTCGGATGGGCAATGAGCATTTTTTCTCTCGCTCAACGGGGGAAAGGGGGGGGGAAGGGGTAGTGTGTACTATTTTTTGTTTACAATTCCCCCCACCCCCTGCGTAATCGCCTGGCTGTGAGAGGCCCGACTGTTTTTATAGGCTCAAGTATAGAAACAGCTAGCCAGGCCTCGAATATTAAAGCAATCGGTATAATTTTTTTATTACCGAATTGACCCAAAAATCTACCAAGAATTATACCTTATCCCTTTCTTGAGTAAAGATTGGTTAAAACATCACAAAAAATCTGAGACACTGTCTGTACATCTTCGCTGGAAAGATGAATGAATGTTACAATCATTTGGGAATCGCAGACAAAAAGCACTGATGGTATCCGCGCTCGCATAATGTAAGTTTTAACACGTAAGCCATGGCATCTCATCAAAATGTTACTATTTTCACGGTACCCGGAATCTTGAGTTAATCTCACTCATGAACTATTGACCATTACTGGCATTGTTCGTTTCTTACTGCGGGAATGGCTAAAATCACGACTCTAATTTCGACCAATCAGATGGCTAGATTTCTAAAGAGATGTATATAAAAATATATGTTCAGCAATAAGCACTATTCAGTAATTAAATAAAACTCCGCCACCGCTACGTTCCCTTCTCCTGATGTTTACCGCAATGCCAAATTGTCAACTGCCCCTTGCTTCATAGGACAGTTGCTTCAACATATTTCAGAAGTTTATGGATAAATAATGCTGTGTAGAAAGTGTTTGAATCAGCACTCTGCATAATTTTATCCAGGTAAAACCCATTACCTTATCCTTCAACCCCCCCCCCCCAACACACACATACACACAAACACGCACAAACCCACGCAGCATCACCAAAAGTTTTCCCATCATTTACATTTTGCGTCACGCGGCTGCTAATACAATACACACTGCCTATATGTCATGATCTGACTTTATTCCGGAAGTTGGGACGGACGCATTTTATCTCACTATTGTTTAGCCAACGTCACAATTGATCTGTCCAAATGTTGCAGTCTCCCGACTTAGTTCTCACAGTCATTTGTTTTGAAACCGATTTACATTGATTGACTGTGGACATTATTTTGAGGAAGCCTTGCCCCAATAGTGATGACGACTCGATTTCAAAACTCCACAAATATTTACACGTGATTCAATTGTGAGCATAGGTGATATCCCAGAGCTACATGATTATAAGATTATCATACTGCGATTAATTCCGCGTATGCAGAGACCCACTGATGTACTAGTAATAATCTTCATGCTTTCTCTGTGATAGTAAAGAGGTAAGTAACATTTTCTACCTGTTATTTCATTATAATAAAAACTTATCATGACCCCTCAATCCTTGCATTAATAAATCATGTTTACACAATAACTGATAAACATGGAAATGTAGCCTACAGTAGACATGGTCAATGCTGCAGTGTTTGCAAAATATATTTGCAAAATTTTCATTATTTCATTGAATTGTGCCCTGGTAGTCTTGTAAAGCACAGTTTTATGGAACTTCAGTGTTAAATATATTTGCATAATAACAATTGTATGTATCTCGATAATTATAATTGATGCTTGATGACAAATCAGTTTTACAATCAATCAGCACGGCAGATATCAATCAATATCTTAATATTTCATTTTGTTCTCTCTCTCTCTCTCTCTCTCTCTCTCTCTCTCTCTCTCTCTCTCTCACCCCTCTCCATATCTTAATATGTCTCCCTTCCTCTTTAAATCCTCTTCATACACCTTTTCTCTTACTAATTTGGTGTGCACTCCATCATTGAGCACACTGAAGAAAATGCATCGACACTCACAACTGCATAGTTAACAAGTCCAATATTCAAGTGAGCTTATCAGAATCTCAATGAGAATTAATGCATCTGTATATTTGAGTACATGATTGTTATCGCTATTTCTGTTAGAAATACCAAGAATCCTGTGTGCACGGGGATTTAAAAAATCTTTTTGTTTCGATTTGCTTCTTTTCTATATTATGTGCCTCGCTGAAAAGCGTTAATGATCATCTAGTGTGAGCCAAGCCTTAAGGGGCTCTGACAAAGCTTGTGCACCGATCTTACTGGGTTCATAAAAAAAATTAATTAACCAGGCCATTTGTGATCGGTAGATGGAGGTTATGGAAGGGGTCCCATTGTCTTCTGTTAATATCAATTTCTTTCTCCTCTTTGCCTCTCTCCATTTTTTATTCAAAAAAATTCTGTCCACCTTGCCTGTACCCTTATGATCTCTGTAACTACGCCGCAGACAACCGTGTCTCAAGTACAACGTGTTGCCGCATTTTGCAGTTTCCTGCTGCTGTCAACTTCCATTTACCCAGCAATATATATGATATTTGATCAATATTGTAAAATGAATGTAAACACAACTTTGTGTGTTCTAAACGGGACTTTGGTATTAACATTCGCAGCCAAAAGCAAATATGAAAGAAAAACAATCTTTTTGGGGAGTGCAGAAGTCACAGAGGAATCCAATAAAACAATGACTTTATAATAGAGAAACTATACACGTACTATTGAAATACACATTTTGCCGAATCATATACATTTTAAGTTTAGAAAAGTTGTTTAAAAATCGCGACGAAAATACCATATAATTTGAATTCTATTACTTATTAGTCACAACAAAATACACATCAAGTTCATTGATGAAAACGAACAATTTATTCAGTATCCTATAGCGTTAACTTGATCATGAACGACGGATGAATATAAATTTGAAGGATAAAAAAAGACAGTGCTAATTACAGCACGTACAGGAGATATTATGTATTTTTATGATCAATATGAGTATCAATGTCTTTGGAAAATCAAAACCTTTTAGATGACAGTTTTGTTGTGTGTACATTGGGTGGTTTGTTTGTAATCCCTGACTGCTAAGAAAACATGTGTATGCTTGAACGTAAGGAACCAGGAGACCAACGGCTTCATTCTTCGAGGTACTTGGTAATGAGAAGTATTGCCTTACCAAAGGGCACTAGGGCACTAGGGCATCGAAATGGTTTCATATCTGGGTAGTTTAGATTTAGATAGTTTTGCAAAGCCTACCATTACCAAAGCCTACGATTTACGAGACTAAGGGACAATTCAAAAGTGATACCATTATCAGCGTACTAGGTTACTCGTCATAATGTCATGTTCATATTTACACGTACGCTAGTCTGCTGGGGCATAGCCGGTGTCAGGCTGTTGGGGGGGGGGGGGCACTGTTGGCGTCATGAAGGGGCGGGCGGGGGAGTTAGATAACGGATGTTACTTAACAATCATGTTAGTTTAACCATCTTGTATGAGGTGATACGTTGAAACGATTGACATTGATATTATCTGTCGATTTACCAAACTCGGGTAATTAACAAAATATCCATTTGATCTGAACATCAGGTTTTCTTGGATGTGATATAATTTTAAAAACTATGCCTTTATTGTCGATATGTTATACAATTGTGATTAATTTGTCGTTTGTTTCACAGGCGATGTTTTCTGTTTGTCCCCGACGACTGTCTATCCACTGGAGAGGTTATTCAACGATGGACTATTTTCATTTCCTCCTCATGGCACCTCTGTGGCTTTCTGTAGTTCTTCAGCTTTTGATATGCGTGTCAGGTATGATCAATTCTGTCATTCGTCATATTAGTTTCACTTTCTTTTTTGTTTTCATTTGGCGTCGGAGTGACATAACCAACATTGATGTGAACGGCGTACGTACGCTCCTACCCCTTTTGAACACTCTGTTAAGGAAATAAAATATATGTCGTACCATACCGGTCTGCTTAGTTTCAATACCCCCCCCCCCCCCCCGCTTTTGTTTTTTAATCAATATTCTGTTACTGGATACGCCACTGTAATATTTATCTTCTTTAAAGTAACTTCAGCTGATCCAAGCGGGAATTTGTTTATTTTATGTATATCTCGATCGGCATCTCTCTTTCTCTCCTCCCTTCTCTCCCCCCCTGTTTCTCTCCCCCCCCCCCTACCCCTCTTTGTCTCATAGTATATCTCCCCTTCTCCCCATCTCTCTTGATGTCTATATCCTCCTCCTTTTTTCACCTGTTTTGTTTAAATACAGCGTCGCTCGAATATGTCGGGGAGGGGGGTGTGGTGTGAATCCCTGTCTTCCCATTACATCAACCTTGCCCTTTGTCACCATATCAATAAAGATGAAAACAAAATAATCTGTAAGAAAACAAAGGTCCCGATTTTCCTGTGAAACGTCACCAAAGTTCATAGTGTCCTTTCTTCATAATTATGACGGGAAAAAGGATCGATGCACTCTTCTCACTAGATATAGCATTCCCTTCTCATTATTTCCCTTTCTATTACAGCATCGACTCGCGATGTCAACATCGGAGAAAATACATTTAAGGTGTGCACCACCTCTCTATGTAACGACGTGAAGTGTGGAGACGTACCAGGTGACCAAACCCCTTGCCATTGCGACTATGCCTGTGAGTTCTACAACGACTGTTGCGGGGATTTCGAAAGTGCTTGCTCTGCGATGGAATCTGCAGAGAGCACAAGGGGTTTCTATGAGACAGTGGACGCTTTGGAAGAAGTTGATCTGGCGTGCATCTCTCCGAATTCAGGTGCGGTAGATGCCTACTGGATGATCCAGTCATGCCCAGATAAATGGAAGGGCGACGTTGTGCGATATAAGTGCACATCAAGGGAGCCTTCGTCAAACACTGATTTGGTGCTTCTACCGATGGTACATGGTGGCGTTACTTACAGAAATGTATTTTGCGCTGTCTGCAATGGGATTGAGCTTAATCACGATAATAATAGTATCACTGGATGGAAATTTGAGTTCAATTGCTTAAAGGAGTATGCTACACGTCTTGAGTCGAGAAACGTAACCCTTCAGGAACTAATTAATTCTGCAAATTGTGAACCACGTTTCTCACCTCCAACAGATGTGCCAAAAAGTAGCCTTCGCGCATGTCTAAACAATAACTATGTTGCAAGTTGCCCGACTGATGCGCCACAGAGTCTACGAGAGGGATGCATGTCATTCAGTAGTGTCTACACAGATGATTCGACAGGTCGACTCTACAAGAATCCATACTGTCAACTTTGCAATGAGGGCGTTATAAGTACAAATCAGACGATGAATGAACACAGTGAGTACTTGGAAAGAATTTGCTCTTCACCAGAACAGTCACTCACACCAGTCATCCAGAGCAGCGGCAGAAGCTTTGATTTTGATTTAGGAATTGACGATGAAAGCTTCATCGACAAAGATACCGACAGCGTTTCCTTGATTCCGATCTCCGTAATTGTTGACTTTTCGGGTAAGAGCGGGGTGTCCATCTTCTATTCTGAGAACATAGTCGTAAAAAGGCAAGTGACGTGCAACGATGGTGAAGTCTTCGATCTGACATCTGATGGATGTGTAGCCGTCACCTGTGCTGACGGTTATACCCTCACTGATAGCAGGTGTGTCAGGGATTCGCCGTCGTTTAATCTCACATGTGGAAACGAAGGAGCTGATTTGGAATTATCACTGACTGCGGTGATATTGACAGCGCTCAATGAGACATATCTTCAGTCAGATATTGATCAGTTGGACCGTCTTACGAATTGCATTGCTACCAGCCTCCTATTGTCCAACGATTCTTTAATCTTCAACGATAAGATTTCATTGGATAATAGCACTAATTATTCTGGAAGCATTTCTGACCACACGAATATCCCGCAAGAAGGACACGTGTACATATCCGTAGAGTACAGAGTTGACGCAAAGGCCATTACGTATGCCGAACTTGAAGAATCCATCGACAGATCCCTTCTGAATGTTTATCAGTCGTCGTTGGGTTGTTCAATTCAGAAGGTTGAAATTTCACAAAGATGTATCGCAGTAGAAGGACTTCACAAATGTCAAGACGGCCATGAGGAGCTTTTAGACCCTTCATTTCAGACTTTTAATGGCACATCATTTGTTTACGACAATGAAACAGGTGATCTGTACCACCCCTATGAAACGGAGTTGGTAGCGAGCTATGATCGTCAAGATTCATTACCCATTCAGAGTTTCCATAAGAATGAAGTGGTTCGTATCTGCGATCGAGGAAATGTTCTTTCCTGTCCGCTGATAACTCGAAATGCATCATTGTTCACAACAGTTACAGGAAAGGCGCTCTTTCTTAGAGATAGGAAGACCGAGGATTTGATTGGTCCAGATGAATATATGCTGACATCAGACGGCAACATCCAAGTTTGTGTGCCAGTGGGCTCTGGTCAAAATGGAACAGTGAACGACACTGTTGTGAAACATTTCTTTCGGTATGATCAGTCACAGATTATTCTTAGCTATGTTGGTGTGTGTTTGTCGCTACTTGCGCTGATCGTCACCTTTCTGACGTACAGTACCTTCCCTGTCCTCCGGCAGTGCGTCAGCAATAAACTCATTATGATCCTCTGTGTAGCTCTCTTTGCTGCTCAACTCTTCCAGTTACTGAATGGTCTTGCAACAGGGGATGAGGAAACATGCATGATTGTAGCAGTCGTGGGTCACTTTCTTTGGCTCTTAGTTTTTGCCATGACAACCGTTCTAGCGATTGAACTGGATAGGACTTTTGGCAGTTTGAACAACTTCACCGTGTCGTCAGACAGCCTCATATCGCTTTTGAAATATTCAGCATTCGCCTTTACATTATCCAGTGCAATCGTGGGCACATGCGTTGCAATTCATTTCACAATAGGCGATGAGATAAACTTTCAGTATGGGAGTGAAACTCTATGTTGGATCGGTGATAGAACTGTAAATCTAATAGCATTCGGTGGCCCACTTGCCGTCTTTTTGTTCGTCAACACAATTTTATTTGCGCACACGGTCCACGGAATAAGACACGTGACCAAGGTCCGAAATCGCGCCATCCGACATGCCAGCACCCTCAAGGAAAGGGGAAAGGAGCTACGGATATATTGGAAGGTATAAGTCACCATAATTTCTTTATCCTGGCATACAATCTTTAAAATAGTTTGGAGAAGACAATTTAGAAAAAAAGAAAGGTCCTGTGATTTCATTATGTATAATTGAACCTTTCCATTAGTCTGACTTTTTCTCTTACTTTATGTTGCACACGAAACTTCGTTTCCCGAATGACGTAGGGCTGCATCAGTAGCTGCTGTGGTCTTTGACTCGCCCTGTGAGGGTGAGGGTGACATATTACGGACAAATGATTGCAAAATGAACAGTCCACATATTTTATTAGATTATACTGAGTTACTAACGTATGGCTTAATTATCTGGAATGGCATTTAGTTTACAACGGACATGATGTACAACTAAGACGCGTGTTTTGTTTTTTTTAACGTTTTTTGCTTTGTTTTGAGGCGAATTACCACTTCATGCTTGAAAGGGGGTTTAGTCTTTAGTCTCGATATAACGTATCACCTTCTCTTGGGAACTACAAGTATTTGACATATCTATATTTCTCTCTCTCTCGCCCCCCCCCCCCCTTCCCCTATCTCTATCTCTCTCTCTCTCTCTCTCTCTCTCGCTCTCTCTCGCTCTCTCCCCCTCTCTCTCCCTCTCTCTCTCTCCCCCTCTCTCTCTTTATCTCTCTCCCCCCCTCTCTCTCTTTCTGCTCTATAGATTTCAACATTGTTGGGTTTCACCTGGCTGTTCGGGTTCGTAGCAGCCTTTGCCGGCGTGTCAGCCCTGTGGTATGTCTTCATCATCCTCAACTCTCTCCAGGGCGTCTACATCTTCCTGGCTTTCATGGCCAATAAACGAGTCTTACATCTCTGGACCGGCGTACTGTGCTACAGGAGACGAGGTGGAGCGCTTAGGAAGCACGGGAAAGGCCATCGCAGCAGCGGCAAATCAACGACGTTGACGCTGGTGGCAGGAACAGTATCGACGGCAACGGATCACAGAATATCCAACCAATTCACAACTTGGAATTCATCAGACGTGTCAAAGGTGTAAATAGTCACACTGAGTTGACAGGGTTGTCTGCAAACGGAATATTGACAGACTATCATCCACTATAGTTGCGACGTCGAGCAAAAACTGTACAGCTTTTACGGTTGCCATATTTCAGACATTTTAATTTAATGGCTTCGTCACCACGACACCTGAGACACGAAATCTGAGATCGTATCCATGAATATATCGATAACTTTACCCCACCTTATATGTCATGTACAAAAGATTATTGGAGTTTTGAGAAAAAATTCAATGAATAAAAAAAATCTTATTCTTTTATCTACCATGAGAGCAAGTGTAGTGTTACCCTTGATACCATTTAAGCCTTTTTCTACTCCGCCTATTTGTGAATCGATCACTCTGAGAATTTAGATGTCATCATGTTCATGTTTGTTTGTTCATTTATTCTAGAAATTACCTGTTATGGTTTGTTAATTGTTGATTGCCTTTAAGTGTGCGAATACAAATATTGCAAAAAAAAGAGAACAAAAAGGAACAGGTCGGAGATAGTATGGCATTACTTGAGATCCATTTTACACGCGCCAGCTCCCCTAAAATGAAGATGTTTGATTTGCCACTTGACCCCCCCCCCCCCCATTAAAAAAACAAGGGGGATCCCTCACCCTTAATTTATTTTCCATAACCCATTTCACATCATGGTATCATACTCGAGCAATTATAATATTTTCGACTACAATTATCAAAAAATGTAGATAAAGTTGAAAAAATGTGAGCTTATATTGTCACATCTGCAACCTTGTACATATTTGTGTGTTATAATTGATGTTCTTAAAGAAATGTAGATTACATGTCAGTTGCACCGAGGAAAGTAAATACAGTAAAACAATTAAACAAACAGTCTTATATAGTACAACAGGTTGCAATATTGGGTCACTCCTTTAAATAGGGTATCATCCAATATAAGGAATACGAAGTATGAACAAAGTATGAAACTTCATGTCCCAGGCAAATTTGTGTTAGGCCTATTAATGATCCTCAATAATATGATTTCAGTTTAATGAAATCTGTGATTACGGATTCGCACTAGGTTTCATATACGTTATAAATATTTGTTTGACTTGACCTTCAAAGTGTATTTTTTTTATATGACGATGAATAAATAAATGATTTGAATTTAATTATTAAAGTCGAATGAAGTGTGTTTTGACGCAATTCAATGTTGACGTAAGATTTTAAGGTGATTAAGATTGTAAAAGTAAAATTTAAAAAATCATTCACTCCTTGAACAAAACGTCGACAATGTAACGTGTACACTTAACACTTGTGTTGTGTTATAGGAATTTGTTAACGTATAATATTACATGAATTGTAGTCCTACTAGTATATGGTACAATAGTGTTGATGGAAAATACATGTATCATGTTTCGTGAGAATAAATGCCACTTTGATCTTATTAAATCTTTGTTTGATATGAAAGGTTGATATTATATGATAGGAAAGAGAAGCCGTGTAGGATGCAGGGTTCTTTTCGAAGGTGGTTGGGGAAGGGGGGGGGGGTTCTGCTCTCGTATTTCATGTGTGTACTATATGGTATGCCTGATTGGGTTTGGCTGGGGAGGATCAAGTACCCCACCCCGCCGACAACCCCGAATCTCCTATTTTTACCGACAGAAATTAAGTTACTGAAGATAAAGTCCCATGTAAAATACCCATTTTAGTTAGGTGTATGCATTCAGTTTATACATTGATGATGGCCTTATGCCGATAATAACCCCCCCCCCCCCCACCTCCTCCCCCCCCCCCCAAACAAAAAGCACACACACACAACAACAACAACAAACAAACAAAGAAGAAGAAGAATTTAATAAAAATAAAAATAAATGACTAAACAAATAATTAAATCTATAAAATAATACCACCCCCCCCCCCGAATTTTTTTTTTTGTAAATGCATGTAGTATTCACACACAAAAAATAAAAAACAGATTTGTATATAGGCCTAAAAGAAAGAATGAATGAATACAATTAAACAAAATAACAAATGAAATTTACAAATAGATAAATAAAAGTAAACACAAAATATGATAAATTAATACAAAATGAAATAAATGCATATCAATTACGTTATAAACAGCAACAACAACATACACAACAACTACTTTTACTACTACTCCTTCTACTTACTATGATGAGGACGATATTGATGATGATGATGATGATGATAATAATAATAATAATAACAACGATTATATTAATTATAATAATAATAATAGATTGATTGATTGATTGATTGATTTTTATTCGACAAGCTTCCAACATACAACAATATACAATAATAACATATCAAAAATAAGTCAGCTTGAACAGGATAACCCACGAAAGCTCGAGAGCTTATTTCCAGTGGGGTCCCTTACAGACATGTATAAAATTAATAAGTTAAAATAGTAATATTTACAGACAGATAAGAAAATTAAAAGAACTACTTATTAAAGATAATAATAACAACATTAAACTGATGATAGAAATGATATTAAGTACAAGAAGAAAATAGTCTATCAATAATAATAATATTAATGATAATAATAAGCAAAACATTAAGGAACGGCTTCTCAAAATTTGTTCATTTTGTATCTTTCAGATGTGCCTTTTTATGCCGATCTAAAAAGTAAATGAAATGAAATACGAATGCATTTTTTTGTCAGCCGATACGAGCGAAACGATCTGGTAGCAGAGAGTTCTAACTCTTTTGGAATCTCTTTTTTGCTTTGTATCTAAGCGATACCGTAATTCATTGAAAATGGCGTCCAACAGCGACGAATACGCTCTCAATTTGGCAACTTACAAGGCTCAGTTACAGCAGGTAAGGTCTTACGATGAGTTATTTTGACACTAAAGTTAACTTTCATTTGATATCATAGATTTTTTAACATTTTAAAAAATATGATTAGGATGTTCTAATTAGAATGGATTTGCAAGTGCCTTTCTGATTGTGCATTGAGTGACCATTGGCATTGCATTGCATTGTTGTGTGAACTGAGCTGAGTCAATGAGCGTGAATGTGAGCAAAAGGTAAGCAAGTACCAATACTAAAAAGTCTAAATACCGGTCTGTGTGTGTTCAGGGATTGTCATTGAACATGTTGAGTGAGTGCCCATGCACTGTAATCATAATTCTAATAGTAGCCTCAAGTTAAACCAGGGCTAGGTTATATTTAACTCCAGGAAGGCAGGGAGCTCTATTGCCGAAGGAATCCTAAATCGTAAACATGTAAACCGGGAAACGATTCAAAAAGCAGGTTTGTTCCTACTAACTTAGATCTAGATCATTCTTCTAGATCTAGACTATTTATTTCTTTGAAATCTAACAAATTAAATTTAAACTGAGGTTCATCAATGTTTTTCGAATGCTCTGGGCATCCTAGCAACCACTTGCAATTATAATTTGAAGATGTCTTAGTTTAATAGGAAAAAAGGGTGATTCCTTGTCCTTAACCAATTAATCCATGTTTTATATCGTTGATTCAACATAGGGAAGAGAAAGTATAAATGCGCGGTAGCGGCGCAGCACATACCGGGTTAGACCGAATTTTCCGTCTCTTTCGTTCGTTAGCCTCTTATTGGGGTAGGGTCGGTTCTCTCTTTAGAGACGGAAAGCGTCTATACACATTCCCTTGATAACGCCACGGCCATTTCAGGTCGTATTGTTATGCCCCAAAAATCCCCCAAAATGTCATTTTACCTCGTGTATATCCAATTGTAAATTAGGCCTAGGCTATAATACATGTACATCGGTTCCACTTACTAACTTGACTGAAATAATCTGTTTAATGGTCCCTTTTAAAGAAATTATGGGTCAAAATCGACATCCATGTTGAAAATCTTGCAAGCCGTGTTAAACTCTCGCTGCGCATGGAGTCATCTAAATCAATCTCATCCCTTCTAGTCTACGCCGAAGGCAAAATGATAATGAAGGAAAAACTGTGATAACTCCATTACGAATGTGTAGATGGCGCAGTGATGTAAACAAAATCTCAAATGCATTCGTAATCACACATTCCTGCTCCTGACGAAGCTTGTCTTGCAAGCTACCTTTCAGAGTTTGCTAGTGCTTAGTGGACTTTTCTTTCTACTCGTACAAAGCACTTTGAAATCGGTCAAATATTCAACCAAAAATTTGATACTGGAGCGATAGCAATTTGCTTGCTTACCTCCACATCTTCCTGATGTACGTGAAAAAGCTTTGTTTACATGTTGCCAATCTGATACTTGCCCAACAATAATAGGGATTTGTGTAATAAGGCGCACGCGCGTGATAGTCCCTCTCAGCAGCACCAAGAAGTAGAAGGTCCCAGTCGAAGCTTCGCTGGGAGGATGATATATGCTGGGCCTCGATGTGAGGTGCCATGGTGAAATGGACCAAAAATTACTCTTTCTTGAGAAAATCGACTAAACAACTACAAACCAAGCTTATACTCTTGTACATTGTTCTCTCCCCATGTTTGATTAGGTGGAAGCAGCCTTAACAAATGATCCAGAGAATGAAGAACTTCTAAAACTAAAGCATGATTTAGGGGTAAGTCTTAATTTCTTTTGCTTTTAACAATAACAAGGGGAAAAAAAGCGCCTAGCATACTGCAAAGTGATTTATCCCCATGATGCATGAGATTTTGATGTTAAGTAGCTCTTAATAAGTCATAAATTTTGATTGAACAGATTTTATTTATTTCCTGCCATTTTTACCACATGAGGAAATGCAATATTTTGCGGTGAGATATAACTGTAAGGCCCTCACACCCGTCACACGCATACTTTTTTAGTGTTGAATGCAACTGAAAGCCATTTTGATAGTTATACTGCCCTATTAGGTTTGGCAGCTTGGCAGGATAATTACTTTCTGTTTAATCAGCAACATGCCCACCAAACTGACTACCTCAAAATATAGAATAACAGAACACACCATTTAACAGAACTTCTAAAGAAAGCGCTTATTTAAATAAATGGGAATTTTGATGTTGCAAAATCTATCTGATTGAGGTTCAAATAATAATTATGAATTGTCACAATGTATTTTTATAGCGTATTCTTTGTTAGACTTCCAGTTGGAGTCTGTAAATGATCTTGTGACCCCTCTGATATTTGGACAATTTACTGTTGATTAGTATTTATCGTGATATGAAGCTTTATCAGGGTTTAAACATGTCTTTTCACCATGTTTTGGCAATAGGACGTTATAGAACTCACATCAGATCTCCTCAGATCATCGCAGGGAGCCAGTACCTCAGCTGAACCAGATGCAGAAGATGTTCCCGTAGTCACACATCCATGGAATGTAGGAGACAGGTGCTTAGCATGTTGGAGCAAGGAGCAGCAGTGAGTAGTAGAAGCAATGATGAATGTGTTATCAAATGAAACATTAGAAAACTTGTGTGCACCATTATCATGACAGAAACGCTGGCAGCATCTCATGAAACCGTTATACATGCACATTGAAATTGAAACTCCTGTTAATTTCCTCACAAATGTTTTTATTGGGGTGACCAACTTACGACTTATGACAGTTTCATGAGACAGAGGCCTTGTATCAAAGCTTGTCTTGTCAAAAAATTAAAACTTTGCACATTGACACAGAGGATGTAAAACCCTTTCATGTGAGTGCACTTCATCCGTTAAAACATCCAAGTAACCTTTATTCTTTACATTTAGACTTGTACAGTCAAACCTGTCTACAGCGACCGCCCAAGGTAAACACAAAAAAGTGGTCTTTGTAGACAGATTCCTTTGGTACATGTTTCAATGAGAAACCATTTTCAAGGGAAACAAAAAATGTGCTTGTTGTAGACAGGTGGTCTTGGTAGATAGGTGGTCACTAAAGCAGATTTGACTGTATATCAAATTAAGTTTATGCCAATGTTTGATAGTTTCTAGTTAGTGTGTATATTTTATATCCATGAGTATTGGTACTCTAATGTTACCCCCTAATTTGAATTCAATTTCACATTTACTTCTTACTGTATGTAATCTTATCTACCTGTATTTGTGTCAATCTTTTTCAGGTATTACCCTGCAACAATAGACAAGATCGATGATGAGCTTACAGCCACTGTTATATTTGATGTCTACGAGAATGTGGAGGTTAAACAGGTATGCTAAACTGGTGCTTTGCTAAATATGTCTTTATCACTCTAATGTTTTATATTGAACAGAATTGCCAGACAATAGATAAAAGAAATTCTGTTTTCCATCTTTTTGCTGTTTTAGACATATATAACCAGCTTTAATAAAGCTGTTATTGTACTTCAAAATTAAGAAGAAGGTTTTCCCCCCTGATGAAACTGTCTACAAATGTATCCAAATGTTAAAACATCTTAAATGTTGACAAGTTTAAACAAAATGATTATTACTTTATATGTTGAAATAGAATTTTTAAATATTTTTTTATCCACATTTATTCTACATATATCTGTGTCTAAAGGCTGAAGAAATAATGTTGCTTCAAATAATTTGAACACAATTTGCATCATGTAAATTAAACAATGAGTACCGGTAGTACATTTTAATTGTACAAATCATTGCTAGCTCCTAGCTTCTGCCATTCATGTACCCTGTATACATCCTACTCAGACTTTAGCTCATGTCTTCTAAGTTCTATTGCATTGCTGTTGTTTCTCTTACAGTTATCCAAATTGAAGGATATACCAGCAGACTACAAGTCAAATATAAAACCTCCATCATCAGACTCATCAATATCAAAGTAAGTAAAACATTATGCAAGCAATCCAGGGGGGTGTTTCACAAAACTTGTCATCAGTGACAAATGACAGTGTTTGTTTTAAGCTAGTGAAATCCTTGCTTCTGATTGGTTATCAGCAGATTTGTCACTGATTTTTGTCATTTGTCATTGAAAGAAGGCTTTGTGACACGCCCCCGTTTTATGTGTGATATGGATTAAATGATTAGGGTAATAATAGCACCAAAGTGCTTGATTGCCAGAAGGATTTCAAATACCAACTTAATTATCACGTTACAAGTTAGCACAGTATTCATATTATGATAGATAATTCAAACACAGTTTGTATTGTGGATGGATAGAGCATATTTGAATGCTCATTATCATAATGAGCATTGAATCAATCACATTTGTTTGGTCTTTTCCACTCAAAAGGAAACAGTTGCTTATCAAACAGCGGGAATACAAGAAAAAGAAACAGCAGAAGAAAGCTGATAGGATGAAGCAACAGGAGCAGCTACATGAAGACCAGAAGAAATCATGGGTTAACTTCAGCAGTAAGGTAAGATGACCAGCATGCATGCCAGATATAGCAACATGATTCAGTTCAATTTGAGAAACCAACTGCAACTAGTAATTATGTACCGGTACTTGATATATAGTAGAGGTGTCGTGATCGAGTGGATACGTCGCCTGACTGTTGATCACAAGGTCCGCGGTTCGAGTCCCGCCACGGCACTAATGTCCTTTGGCTAGACATTGACCTACATTTGCCACACTCGACCCAGGTGACGTAAGTGAGCACCTGGCAGGAATTAATTCCTTGAAATGCTGGAGCGCTGTAAAGGCAGCTAGGCTAAAGCCGGGGTAATAATAAATGTGCCTCGGAATAAAATTTCTAGATAGACAGCGCTAGAGAAATTCCTATTATTATAATTATTATTATTATAGTTATTTTGCGTTCTTCTTGCAAGACGATATGATAATTTTTATTAATATATCTTCCCCCCCCCCCTCCCCCTTTCTGTTGCTACGAATCCCCCTTTGCTCTGGATTATGTAACGTATGGCAATGTATATGTATGTAGTTATAATGTATGGAAATGTATAAATATTGATATATTTACCAATTTGTATAACTCATGTTTTAACCAGTTTTTTTTTGCCAATCCCTTTAATGTTACAGGCCACAAAAGGGAAGAAGGGTTTTACCAAGAAGAGCATCTTTGCTTCTCCCGATGTCACTGATGGTAAAGTGGGTGTCGGAACCTGTGGGGTCGGGGGTCAACCGATGACGAAGTTCAAGATGCCAAAACACAATGTTGTGAGAAAATGATAGCAGTCAAGGACAGCTGCTAGGACCATAGGTTTGATGGAGTGAGCGTAGGATTGAAGTGGAAGTGAACAGAAAAAGGAAATGATCTACAGAAGGGATGGGGATGGACATGCTGTGAAGAAGAACGAAATGTATAGAATTGGAGAGTTGAGGGGAGTAGTACCAATGAAGACTGAACAGAAAGGAGAGGTACATGAAGGGAGGAAAACCAGAAAGACAAGATGTTAAGCCTCAGTCACAAATGCGATTACGAACTGCTACGAACGCCGTACGAACAATTTTCAGGCAATGGAATTCAGGAAGACAATGGAAAAACGGAGATTTGTACGAAATTATTGTTCGTACGAAGCTTTGTGACCGTAGCATTAGATGATGTGAACAAACTGATATAAACACAGGTAGAAGGCCAAGCTTTGAGAAGGTGATGTTAGAGACGTGGAAAGATAGATGGAGGAGAAGGACGGTAATAAATTACTATGACAAGGATCACAAAGTTGCATGCTGCGCAGGAAGTAATCTTTTGAGAGAAGAAAACAAAGCATCGAAGAATAACGGGTTAGAGAATAGAGAATAAAACTTAATGATATGAAATCATGAAGTCATTTCTAAAGAACTTGAAGAATATTCTTAAATGGCATATAAAGGCAGTGAGATTATGAAATGGTAGAAAGTGGAGTATCAAATTGAACCCCAAAATAAATTTGAAAGCTTATGAGAAACAAGACATATAGACCGTATCTATACATATTGTTTCTTTGTCTAATGTCACGGTAAGTAAACTAAAATATGAAAATTTGGAAAACCATAGAAAATTGTCAAGTTATAACGAAGCCTCATTGTATTCCTGCTCGTATCAAGAGTGCCCTCTACTCTGTTGTTTGTTTGGTTGCTTTTTTCAAACAATTTTGTAACACGTTTCCGAAGCTACAAGGTAGCTTCCTTGGTGCCATGGAATCTGTAAGAAGAGATGTTCCACTGAACATTGATTTAATGCACACTATATGTATGTTCATTATTAGGCGTATTTGAGTTGGTCAAGGGATGGACTCTGTGATCGGACTCTGGTGACTGGTCTGATCAGCCAGCCTTTAAAGGCATTTGTTAACAATGCCAAATCTGAGATGCATGACCCTACGTGTTATTAGCGTCTGTGATATGGTGTAATATTGAAGCCCTAAAAAAGTGCGCTTCAAAATGATGAAAAAAAATTTAAAAAAATGTTTGAGGGCCAGTTTCACCATGCTCATTTTCCCCTATAAACTGTAGTGTAATAAAACCCGTTGGGAAATCAGTTTGAAATTTCAAATTCCTATCATAAATATCTTGATAATCAGATGAGCGATCGACTTGTAAACGTAATGGGATTCCTGACTGACCTAAAGATTAATAATTATGATTGCAGCATAAGCTAAATCCAGGATTATGTTTAGGAATCTTGGACAAAGATGTCCAATTCCTTTAAGGGCATTAACTCGCATACTGTAATTATACCTTGTTTATTGCTCCTCCATACACAGTTCAGTCCCAATCATTGTAAAGCCCTATTTTCTAAATCAAAATATTACTGACAGTATGCTTCAGCGTGAGATCCCATGTTGAGAGTAATCACACATTTACATCTGCAAATGTTGTTATGATATTTATTAATGTGTATCCTGTATCTGGATTGTAAATATATTGAATATAATAAATGCATTGTTTTAATATGATTGTTTGCGCTGGGTTCTTAATCTTTCAATTTATCAGAAGACGAGCTAATCTTGAAGTGAGAGAGCGAGGGAGAAGGAGAGAGAATGATATTATTGGGGAGTGTATAATGTATACTTGTATTGTACTAAAGAAGTTCATTTCAAACATAAACCCTCTTAAAATCTAATTTGATAGCACTATAACCATAAGCATATTTAGTTCTACTTGGAATATATGGGGCTATTCAAAACAATTCAATTCAATTAAAAATTGTATTTATTAAACAAACAAAAACATTCATGCAAAGCAACACAAGGTTGCATTCTGCATAATCTACAAACAAAATGTTTTAACATGAGCGATTATTACAAATAACATTAAATAAGTATGTAGAGACAGGGAAAAATATTACGTACAATAATGTAGTCCTCAACATTAATAACATAGTTTTATAACACATGGACTATAACCAAGGATATATGACAGCTATATTAAAACATGAGTTATACATTTAACAAAAGATTATTTACATTATTATTTATTACCAATAACATTAAATAGTATACCCTGTGTAGAAACGGGAAATATGAGCGATTATTGCAAATACTGTAACATTAAATAGTATAACGTATGTAGAAACGGAAAAAATATTACGTATACAAATATAATTATGTATAGTCCTTGAAAACATAATTTTCTTACAAACGGACTTAAACCAAGGAGATATCACAGCTATAACAGATACAGACAGAGAACCATTATTGTAATAGGGGTAATTATATATAAGTTAATACTTTAAAGTCAACTCGTCCACATAAATGCATTTGTGACAGTTTGAGCCTTTGAGGGGTGAACGGAGAAGAAAGATTGGGGAAAGTGGAAAGAGAGACATTTCCATTCAATTTCTTTCTTTCATGAAATCTTTGAACATATCGAGAAATTAAGTATGAAGCTGTACCCTGTAAAGCAAGCGGCTACAGGTTTACGGGTGAACCCATAGCACAAATAACAAATTTACAAAATAGTGATAAAAAAAAACTAGGAAACAAAACCAAATCCATAACCCAACACAAATATCATTAGTTTCATACAACAAAGTACAAAACATCATACAGCGTAGAAAATTGTATTAATCATGATAATGATCAACATATACTTCAGAATGGAAAAGATGCCTATAACTTTCAAATTAAATTATCATTTATCTATACTTCATTCGTCATCATCTCTCCAAAAGCATTATGCTTTCCAGTTGTGCATGGGGTTATACTTTCAGTTTTAGTTTGTTCGTTTTTCTTTTATATTTTTGTGATAGTGCCGTCTTAAGATTGCCCATTTTCAGAGCCGTCGATTATAGGAGTGAGTTCTTTCATCTCATTTCCACCTTTACCTTTATTTTTTAGATATAACTGTTCGCCATTTATTTCGGGAGGGGCACGTCCCCCATCCCCTGTAGCTACGACAATGTAATTTGTTTCAAGATGAACACGGTAATTTTGTTATAGTTACATCGTGGCAGTTGAGCGTAGACGAGTTATCAAGCATGAGCCTCAGAATTACTAGAAACAAATATATATCTGTAAAGATCTTAGGCACATCGTTGGATCGGTGGATTGAGCGCCATATAAAAAAACGGATTATTATTATTATTATATATTTCCAAATCAGCACTGAAACACCATTTGTCATTTTGTTTCAAGAGGAACACGGTTATTTGTTTTATCTCCTGTAAATGCCCATTGTACACAAGGCGTCATTTCGATTGGGTTATTTCCTGCGCCAATCTAGCCACAATGACGGCAATTAGCGCATACGCCAGTATTGCAAGTCAATTATTTGCGATGTTCATTATTATTTCACTTATGTTTGATTTTACTCTCACACAAAGGTCGCACCAATCTCTGACCTGACGCAGCTCTACGTCAGCAGCCTCGTGTGCAAGTTTAAAAAGGATGACGCTGCTATGTTATGGATACTTGGGCAGAAAGTAAAATCGTCTTCGCATCCCTTGACACTCGTATGCGGGAGTCTGACGCACCTCAAAAGGACGATTCGTCACCTCATCCGAGAACTGTGACCGGTAGCTCTCGGTCACAAGGCAGGTCACCTGTATATAGATGAATAGATAGATAGATAGAAAGATAGACAGATTTACATATTAATATATATTTACGTAGATAGATAGATAAACAGACAGACACAAAGGCAGATGAGTAGATATATGAATAGAGAGACATACATCCATACATACATACAGATTGATAGGTAGACAGATAGACAGATAGATCAATAGATAGAAAGACAGATATCACGAATTGATAAAACAAACACCGTTGCAACAATGTGTCTCACCTTCCTCATTAGTTCATTAAGATCATCTTCGTGTGCATGCGCTAGAAAGACCTCTGAGATGGCTTGAATAAACCATGACCCTTCCCTCCGCATCCTGATTGAGTAGTACCCTAGAAGAAAAACATAACGAGGTTTTTAAACACAGAACGATTCGCATGGCAACGTGTAAGAATGCACTTTTTTCAAAACGAGAAAACCACAGTTATATTTTTACAACGTTTAACGACCAGTTAGGGCTCATTTCCTTGTCATTTTCTCTTATAGGGATTTTCACCTCGCAAGATTCCAGACTTGCTTACTTACAAGCATACACATAATTGCTAAGCAGTCAGGAAAACAAACCAACCAACTGACCCTCAACATTGGTCCTGGGGGTGGGGTGGGGGGGGGAGTTTCCGTGCTTGGTTTTGGGAGGAGTTTTATGACTTTCGTTATTTTCGTTATACTCGTTATCCGGTAACCTATAATTATAATGCCAGGTAAAGCTTTTTGAGGCTGATTTTGTCCATTCTAGCTTAATATACACGAACTATTATACCAACTGTAACGTCGTACCGTTCGAGGTTGCATTGGCCACAAATATATCAGAGTTATTAGGCAGCTCTCCGCCCCCATCAACATCCAAGTGGACTGTACCGAAAGGACTGTCCAGGGAATCTAGCTCGATGGCAGGTGACGGAGTCGGAGTGACCCGTGGTACGAAATCCACTTCGAAAGGTTGTTCCTTGCTCCGCAGTGGTTGTGTCGCTGATACGTAGTCCATCTCGAAGTGAGGTTCTTCGTCCTGGACCTCTGTCGTTGACTTCCCGATGGCGTCAAGCTCATCAGCATTACGAGTAAATGCATCTAGAATATGGTAATAGGAGCATAATTATAAAGAAAGTGGAATTGTCTATCATTCCCGGAATGGTAGATTAATATTTTTTCTCTTGTACCAAACAACCGAATAGAGAGCGAAAACTACTTGGGATGAATGTCTCAATTCTTGTGTCCTCTTGAAACAAGTTCGATCATCCAGGAGCAAAAGCATTTTGAATTTCAACCAATTATAATATGTACTTTGAATATGATCTTGTGTTTCATTTTATGTGCACAGTACATTATATCAATTCGCTGTGGTTCTACGTTATTATATAACTATTCAATATCTTTAGTTCCATACTATATCAACAGTAACAGAAAACCGAAAATCCGAGGAAATTATATATATTATATTGAAATCTTCAATGAACAACATTGTCTTGAAACCTACTTCCTCTGCAAGCTTGGATGAAAATAAGCTTCGGTTTCCCAAGAAGAGCTTTACATCTTCGACCAGTAAGCTTGGCCTTTATCTCGTCCCTGGTGACGATACGATGGTCTGCAGGGCGTGCATCCGTACCCGAGACGCCTTCCCAATTGCCATGACTCATGAAGAACAAGCAGAATGAACTGTGAGCGTCGCCCTCTGCGTTGATCCGATTAACAGTCTCGTCAAGTGTACTGAGAATCTCCTACACAATGATACATTTGGAGACACAGTGTAAAACACACTCAACCACAAAGGCACTATTGTACACGAGGAATTGAATATCGAGTCTGTTTCATTGTTAATAATTCTGAGCGATCATGAATGCAAACATTACAAAATTGAATTGAAAACTTGTACCAACACTCCAACAGGTACAGTAAACATAACACACCTCCACTTTTATCTACACGGGTTCAGAGGAAGGATGGGGGAATCAGTGTTGAAACACATGACTGTTGTCAGTATTCAGAAGTAATCAGGGGCATACTTTCTGAATGCTAGCAGGTCTACTGAAAGAAATTATTGTTCCATTATTCTCTCATTCTCCCGACTCAATGCAGTTATCAGTAACGGGCATGACGGAGGGGTGGGCCTGTGGGGGGGGGGGGGCACAGCTCCCCAAGAAAGACAAAAATAGAGACTGAAAAAGAAAGAAGAGTGGGAGACGACGTAAAAAGAAAATGATGCGACCCCTTCTCATACCCTCCCTACACTCGCTGGACTTGATCGCCCACATTCATATCATCCACTACGTGCCCCCCCCCCCTCCCTGACACCAATGCCCCCTTACAGGCTGGACCTACGCTACTAAATATATGGTATCTTACTTACTGCACCTGGATAGAGAGAATCAATCATAAATGCCGAATCAGGGTTGGAACCAAGTAATCCGAAGCCAAATCACGGCATGACAACGCATGGTCGACCACAACATGATTGACTACTAAGCTGGTCAAAAATAAAAATGAAAAAATATATTCCTACTTACCACCCTGGTGAGATTTTGATGAACCAGTGGTTCGAAGCCGAGCTGGGAAAATACATGTTTGACGTTCTGGAGATCGACATCTGACCCTCGCCTCAACTTCGACCTATCAGGCAGGTAGGGAAAGTGGCTGTTGTTTAAGATGTAGACGAGTCCTTTTCTTGGTGATTCCCATGTGACGTATGTCTGCAGAATCAGGGTTAGTGGAAAAAGGAGGACTTGGATGAAGAAACGATCATGGGTAATTCTGCAATAAAATTAGTGTAGTCCAATCTAATTTAGAGATTACTAAATAAGCATGGATGAAGATTACGACTGCAAAAAGTGTTCTATAGCCCCCATCCCTCCATACACAGAACGTTATTTGTTGTTATGATTTTTTTTCCTTTTCATTGCATAAAACCCCTGTTTTTAATGATTCGATACAATCCATCGAAAGATTGAAGTAATATTTGAATATATCTGCCATAAAAGTATACTTACAGATCTGGGATCGAGCAGCGCCTGATCAGGGTGGGCGGGAGGAATCAGAACAGAAGTGTACAAGCCATCTACATCAGGTTCTATGCCATACTGAAATACTGCTGGTGCTTCCCCGACTAAGATTAAAATATATGATTATAATAATAATAATAGTAATAGTTGAATTACAAATGGTTTTTTAATAAAAAGTGCACTAACTTAATCAATAACAAACGGCGTAAAACATGAAACCAAATTAGGCTTGAAAGGGAAGTAGAAAAGGAAAAGTTGGGTAATCAAAGTAAATGTTACAGATTACGAAAAGAGTTTGAGGAGATAACATACTGTATTGAAAGTGTGGCGGTAACAAATTTAAATCGTTATACCGAACGTAAACAAAAGAGCGTCAAAGGTGACCATTAATTATTGTAACGCTTTAAGTCGTGGCAAAATCAGGTTTCGTGAAAAGATTATGTATGTAACATCATCATCTTATTTTCAAGAAGCAAGCTATTTCTACTTTCGATAAAAGTTGATCCGGGATCGTCATACATACATGTTGGGGGAGGGGGGAGGTTGTACCTAGAATAAATAGTGAATACTAGACATTTATTTTCTGGAGAATATTATTTCTTGGGGGTGGAAGGGGGTAGCAGCAATTTTTCTTTCCCATTGTTTTGTATTTGGATCTATTACTATTAGAAAAGTTCATTCACATGGTAAATGAATATTTTGTGTTACAAAACACAAGCATAATCATTATTACACAAGTGAAAAAAATAGTTTGAAAGATTCATTTGTTTTCCAGAGATTTGGTCGGATCACTGTATTTTATAGTTATTTATTAATTTCAAATTCGTTCTTATGTACCTTCCGTTTGTCATGTCTGTCTAAGGGTGGGGTCGTGTCCGTGCCATGACCCCAAGACAAAACCGTCTTAAAATTAAAATCTCTTTTCGGGCAAAGGCATTACCTGTTAAGTCTATGCTTAAAAGAATTTGAAAGTTTTAATCACGATCATATTGAAGTACTTGTTTATGTTATCACAATGTTACCTTGATGGGCAGTAAGGGGAACTTTCTGAGACGTCTGAGAACTAACAGGATTCACTTGAGGGCAGGCTGTTTCACTTGGCTGATTGGGTGATGTTGATTGGATGATCTGATATGCTGGAGGTGGCGATCTGGGTTCATGTTGATATGCTGGAGGTGGTGATCTGGGTTCATGAGGGGCCGGTGGGTTCGGCTCAGACATGAAGCCCTGCTTGGCTAGCATTTTCAGCAAGGCTTCTTTTGTAATGAAATGTACCAATATAACGAGAGAGTAAGAAAGACATAATTATAGAGAATGAAAAAGAGAGGGAGAGAGAGAGAAATAGAGAGTGTAAGAAAGACAGACAAAGAGTCCAGTTGGAACAGAAGATAAAACAACATGTTTTCCAAATTACATTGAAGCCTTATTACATTGAAACCTTATGGATGCGATATTTCTCTTTCATAGTGAGCACATAATAATTAGTTATGCATTAATTTTTTTGTTGAAAAATATTCCTACATCTTTTGCGATGACACCTGACTTGTCTGTGGGAATGACGTTATTCAAATCACATCAGAGATTAAATACATTTGTAACTTCAAATTAAACACAATTAATCAACATGAAAATAGTGAATTCGGTTGAGCCCTTGAAAAGAATAAGAAATGATGAGAGAGGGACAGGGAAGAGAGGGGGAGAGAGGGAGGGAGAGAAAGAGAGAGAGAGAGAGAGAGAGAGAAAGAGAGAGAGACTCTTACGGTTAATGCCTTCACTCCGTGAGGCGAGCGCTATCTGTCCACGGTCCTCTGTGGTAACCATGGGAACACCTCCTACCACGCCTTTCTCTCTCAAAGCGTGGAGGACGGCGTTGGTGGCCTCGTTCACGCCGTCTTCTTTCCTGTCAAAGTGCCTGATTTTCTCCGATGTTCCCGTGATCACATCGGTGGCGGTGACGTCGTAAACCCAGGGTTCGGACGGGTGATGAAAGCGACCATGAACCAGTATCTTGAATCTTCGACCCTCCCTCGTTACCTGCAAGCCGCATGGGAACAGATAAGAAGTGGAGGGAAAGAAAGCAAGCGAAATTGTGCCGATAATCCTTATGTGTGAAAAGTGCAACACAAATGGCAGGTGAAAGAGTTGCATGGCGTGCTCTCGTGAAGACCACAGCAGCGCTTTACAGCGCCACCTGAAGTTGATGATGATGATGATGATGATGTGTGTAGCGTATTTCACACCGAAACAATTATCGCCTCCATTCTTTCGAAATAACTACACTGGCTATACTATATTATATCGAGGATCCTTGATACATAGTGCATAATTACAGGCCAAAGTTCAAATGCCTAGGGCCTACACCTAGTTCATGCACCTTGGTCGAGAAGGGTAATTTTTAAGAATTGTAATGTCACGTCGGGAATCGAATTCTCAACATTCATTTTTAATCATCGTGCTCGAACCATTCGACTACAATCTTGGGGAAAGGGTGGTGGAGTAGGCTTACAGATAACATACAATTATGTTAAAGGTACAGCTTTACTATGTTCCATTTACAGCCAAAATCAAATTCTGTAGAGCTTTGCAGGAATATGAATATGTCATGTATATAATCCTATCTGTAGAATTTAAACGTTATCAGTGTCTTATTATTCAAATTATGCCCAAAAAACGTTTACTTTCTAGACTTCACCGTCAGACACTAGTGAGTGAGTGACTGACTTCAGATTGTTCTTTGTTTATAACATACATGAAATGAGCTGTAGGGTACATGAGCATTTTGTCTACATCATTAACATTAACCCACTTCTTGTAATGGCCAAAATTAAACTGATTGAATCTTTGCGCAGGCATAAACGTACGACCATTCGGTACAAGCATGGGTGTCGATCCCGGGGGGGGGGGGATATATATATCCCCCCTCAATATTTCAAGTTGGGGGGGGGGGTGGCCTGTACAATCATCCCCCCAATAATTCACCATAAAAAAAATGAAGAGAAAAATTAATGATGAGAGCCCGATGAGAGTAGTTAATGGTTATTACTCGCATATATATAAATAGAAAACGAAGTAAATGAGACAACCGTATATGAAACAAGAATAAATTGAATTCTCGCTCATACCACTTCATCAGGAAATGATGAATTTATTCAATTTATTCAATCAACAGCATCAAGCAGTGCGCCAAATGCAAAGCCGCAGCGTTAAAAAGCAACGAGCTAAATGTTAAGCACGAAGCGCAAAAGTGAAAAAAAGAAGTAGAGAGTGGGAGAGAGAGATAACGAGAGACAGAGAGGATACAGGCGCGTACCGAGGGGGCACCCCCCCCCCCCCAAAAAAAAGAAGAAGAGAGACAGAGAAGGAAGAAAGGAAGAGGACATAGGAAGAAAAAGGATTAAGAGTCGAGAACGGTACAACGAATCGTCTTCTTTCTCTAATAATTTAATGACACGTCAAAGCTTCCGCGCTTTGCGCGGGAGGGGGGTGGAACTGAATTCAGACAAGGATTATGAGTCGAGAATGGTACAACGAATCGTCTTCTTTCTTTAATAATTTAATGAAACGTCAGAGCTTCCGCGCTACGCCCGGAGGAAGGAGAACCTGATTCCCCTGCCCCCACACCCCTAGGGAGCGCGCTCTGTTAGTGATTCGCACGCCCCCTAAAATAAAATCCTGGTACGCGCCTGAGAGGATAATAACCCAGGTAGCAAGTCCACGTGGGACTAACATGGGTCCCATTTTCTCTGAAATGTTATCTTTATCGAGAGTGAATTGAAAAAGTTAATAACTTGGAAGGGAGGGGTGCAACTTGCCACACGCTTGTACCTCTTGGTTGCTTTGATCCATTGCCGAAAATATTTGGGCACCTATCATCCCCCCCCCCAACCACGGATACAAATCGACACCCCTTGGTACAAGGGTCTGAAAATCAGACTTATTACTAACATGATTGCAATTACTAAAGTCGATTCGACAACTTCGCTCATTATTTTCCCACTTAAAGACATTATCAAGCCCTTTCGTTTTGAGGGAAGTTGTAAATTAGTATTATCTTTCAAATGTCGTTGGAAGTTAACCTTTTTATTTTTTGGCCTGCAAATGGGACATAGTACCTTTAAAGGGATTGGGTATCTTTGTCTTAGATTCTGAAAGAAAATTATGGATTTAACTCATGCTGCAATGATATACCTTTGTGTCAGTCAGGAATCCCATGACATTTACAAGCCGATCGCCTGTCTGATTATCAAGATATTGATGAATTGAAATTGAAATGACAACATTTGTTTTCGAATACATGCACAGTCTATTGGGGAAAATGAGATTTTTTACTTTTTTAAGGCACTTTATGATTATTTTGAAGCTCAATTTAGGGCTTCAATATTACACCATATCACAAACACTGATAGCACGTAGGGCCATGCATCACATATTTAACATTGTTAACCGAGAAAAAGAGGCAGAGAGAGAGAGAGAGAAGCAGGAAATAATCATTTATTTTATTTTTAAAAATGAACACACTTTTTATAACTGCAGATAGCTGGTTTTATGCCATAGACCCATTTGTCAACCTGTTATTCTTTAACTCCTGAATTCTTCTAAAGATCGGGAGGTTCATTTTGTCTTCCATAGCTGCGATGTCGACCGGGTATCAAGAATCAGACGTCCCAAAATATTTTGAATACAGCAAGAGTTGATGTACCATTCCATTGTGCTCTCCATTCTCTCTCTTTCTCTCTCTCTCTCTCTCCGTATCTCTCGCTCTCTCTCCCTCTCTTTTCTCTCTATCTCTCTACCTGTTTCCTACTCTCTCTCTCTCTATCTATCTCTCTCTCTCTATATCTCTCTCCCTCCTTCCCTCCCTCCATTTCCCATTTCTATCCCTCCATTTCCCCTTTCTATCCCTCCCTCTCCCTCTTTCTATGCCCCTCTCTCTATCTCTCTCTCTCCTCCCTCCTATTTTTCTTACCTCGAATTCGTCGTTCGTCGCCTTGTCGACCACATTAATGATGTTCACGAGGCCCTTTAAAAACGACATCCTTCCGTTTAGCAAACTCTTATGGGATGCACGATTCCAGGTTTCAATAAGAAGCGATGCTAATGTTATGCTGATACCCACTGTGTAGCTAGATACGAGATGTGTATTCTAGATGAGGCTTTGTATGTTATTACCTATACCTAAAAGCAGTCTACGTCATTCGGTGATTATGTTCGACCGGGTACTACGTTTATCTTCACTGAAAATAAGCCCGTCAAAATATTCTTTATAACTCCTCTAACCGGATGGATTTTTTTCTTCTTCTTTCGAGATGTTGTCTGTCTTGATAATCGCGAGTGCTCTAGAAAGCTATACTGATGTAGCGGTCAGTCGCGTATCCGTTTCTGCCGAGTTACGTCATATTTTCATCATTCATAGGGGATTCCCCTTACAAATTCTAAGCGGGTTTTCCCAGACGCAGTAGAAAGTAATAATCTAATGCCAGGCTTGGGGATTTTCTAAATACTTTAAGGTTTACAGAACTACATCACCACGTATTTCAACGCTAATATACAACTGAACGGAAGTATGACTCGGTGTAGAACAAAATCATAGGAATATAATTATAGCGCTGAATTAAAATTTAAATGCTTGAATTGGTTGTCAAAGTATCAAGATGTCAGAATGCATAGTCGATATCTTTATAGGGCAATATGTTCTTTGAAAATTGATGGAATATTCAATGGAGAAAAAAGAGAACACATATTAAAGATATTTTCTTAGTTCTATGAATACTACAGTACTAATAACTCTACATTTCCCCTAAATTCATACATACCATCATGACTAGACGACGTTTCTATCAAATTATTTCAATTCGTTTTTCAGAAACTATTCACTTCATCCATAACCTTTGGACTGTTTTCCCAAGTGTATGTACTGTTCAGGTGAATAAAAAATACAATGGAAGCCGTACTGTAGGGGCGTGCAATATTTTATGCGATTGCGTATGTGATTTTATATTGCTACTAATAAAATCTCAATGAAAAGATTCTATTAAAAGCGTGTTTTGTATTTTATGACTGATCGCTGACGGTGTGTTTGAACAGCACTAGGTAAGCTGGGGGTTCATACAGGTAAAGCCATTGGCATTCAACACAGCCGGCCAGACAATCATGCGGAAGGCATAATAAAAGCTTGTGAGAATCCAATGATGACTTTCAACCATGACGTCATAAATAAATAAAATCTAGTGGACTTACCATGGCAATTTGCAACTATGAAATCTCGCTAAAATAATATGGATTCCTTATATTATTCTCCCTTCTCCCGTTCTTTCTTTGTTTTTCGTTTGCTTACATGACATCATAGCTATATATAGACGCAGCAAGGTCATCCTCAGAGGTCTATGTCCAGGTGCCTTGACATGTGTCTTGACGACATTTGCTTTCGGGCTGCATAGTTAATGTCAGGGATGCAATTAGGTTCCAGGTTAGGCTTAGGCAGGGGTTTAGGGTAATTTAGGGTTGCAATTAGGTTCCAGTTTAGATTTAGGGTTAGGGTTAGGGATAGGGTTGCAGCTGGGTATTAGATTAGGGTTAGGGTTATTAGAGTTAGGATGAGGGATATCAAATGTTCTGTTGAAGTTATGAATTCGACTGATGTGGGATTATTAAGATAATGACTGCAACAGATATTCAACCACACTGAAATAAAAACGCATAGTACTAAGTGTGCAGGAAGTGGTAATGGGATTTTTGCCAAAATTCTCCTGGAGACGTGATCGTCGGTGAATGTGGGAAATGCAAGAAAGTCCATGTTTCGACAATAGGGTTTTCCAGCGGTTTTTAAAAAACCTCGAACGGGTCATTCCAAAGTTGAGGATTCGGAATATCTATCTCAAAGGTACTATGTCCCATTTGCAGGCTAAACAAATGAAAAGGTTAAATTCCAACGGCATTTGACAGATAATACTAATTTTAGAACGTCCCTCAAATTGAAAATGTCTATTTGTGGGAAAATAACGACCGTTAGTTGCAATCTTTTTAGTGAATAATTATTGTAAACAAATGCTCATGTAGGCCTACCCTTGACAGCTCATTTTATGTATGTTATACCAAAGAAAAAATGAAGTCAGTCAGTCACTCAATAGTTTTTTTTTTCCATATTTTTTCTTCCCTCCACAGGGATTTTATTGATTTTCATTTGAACATAAATAAAATTGGCTTTTCAAGATACAAGTATTGATGAACTGTTGAGTTAACACAAAATAACAAATCAATAATTCATTTCTGACACTCATGGAAAGAAATACAAATACAGAAAAAAATATCATTTTACGTAAACAAATTCCTGAATTGAAACCATTTTCTTGTGAATTTATTATTTCTACAATTCGAATTTGCAATATACTTTTCGTTTTTGAAGTAATTTATAATCGAAATTCTAATATTATCAAAGTCGGGCAATTGTTTTTTTATTTTGCAAGTTTACACCATATGTCGCACCACAATCAGTATACAATTCAATGCATAATTATTTGAACCTTTTAAAACCAAATAATTTATCTTGTAATGAAAATGTTAATTAATTTCCGGTTCCAGTATTAATCCATTGCTCTAACCTACCCCAAATATGTTTAACATGCGTACAATCACATAGCAAATGTATAACTGTTTCAATATGTTCATTACAAAATGTACATTCTTTTCTTGGGACTAAATTTATTTTAAACAGTAGATCGTTCGTATATAATATGCGTTGCAAAACTTTAAACTGAAACCATCTTAAGCCCACATCAATGGTACAATTAAATCCAATAGAACAATATGTTTCCCAACTCTTATCATTCAGGTCGAAAATACATTTCCATTTAAGAAAACTTTTACATAGTCCTTTTCTTCTCTTTAATAAAATTGCATAGATATGTGAACATCCTTTAATACGTTTCATAACAAAAGCTATTGTATCTGGGAAAAGAGGTTGTGGCACCTTGTTAAAAATAGTACAATTGTTAAACCCTTGTCTAATTGCATCGCATAATCCACGATAAAAAAGAAAAATTATTTGAATACTATACTAGCAGTGTCCTAGTATTCCAAATATGCAAGGAAACCCGTTTACTTTCTAGACTTCACCGTCACTCGATAGTGGCTGACGGTGAAGTCTAGAAAGTAAACGGGTTTCCTTGCATCTTTGGAATACTATACTATAGGACACTGCTAACGTTTAAATTTCACAGATAGAACATACGTGACATATTCATAATTCATGCAAAGCTCTACATATCAGGGGCGGATCTAGCTTTTTGCTAAGGGAGGGGTTGACCAAAATAATGACGATGCGGAGCATCGTCCACGAGCCGCAAAGCGGCGAGCCGATTTTTTTGGGGGGGTTTATTTGAACCCCGTAAGTGATGTTTTCCTGGCATCTATTAACACAATGGAGACCATAAAAAGCAGTGCATGATAACGTCTTTTTAAATCAAGTAACAGTTAAATACACAGTTATATCCAGAGTTATCATGTGTTTGGTTAAGTTACCAGATGAGTTGAATATCTTCTCACAATATTTGCACTTGAAAGGGTTTCTCTCCAGCGTGCGTTCTTTTTTCTTTTTTTTTTTTTTTTTTTCCCCCTTTTTTTTTGTTTGTTTTTTTGGGCCGCCCAAGGGGGGGTTTAAACCCCCTAACCCCCCCCGTAGATCCGCGCCTGGCAAGGGACTCTGTGACATTTGTTCGCCCAACCCCCCCCCCCCCCCCCCCCCCCAAAAAGAAATAATAATAATAATAATAATAATAATAATAATAATAATAATAATAATAATAATAATAATAATAAAAATAAATAAATACATAGAAATAGAATAAAATAAAATTACAAGTTAAAAAAAAAAGATAAGATTTAAAAAAATGGTCCCTGGATTTTTTTTTGGGGGGGGGGGGTTGCAACCCCCCCAACCCCCCCTCTAGATCCGCTTCTGCATATTAATTTGGTGTTGGCTGCAAATGGGACGTAATACCTTTAATGTAGTCTATTATTCCAAATGGCATGCAAGGGGCAAAGACCCGGCCCCCCCACTCAGGTTTCAAAATGACCGCATGCGTGTTGCCAAAATGTCCTTTTCGTAACAAAAGAAAAAGGTCGAGCCGTATTGACTTTACACACCGGACTTTTGCTGAAAAGGGGGGGTCCGGAAAAAGGCTCGTATACAAAAGAAAAAGGTCGAGCCGTATTGACTTTACACACCGGACTTTTGCTGAAAAGGGGGGGTCGGTTGGAACACGCATATGCGTACCCTAAATAACACTAAGTGGGGGGGCCGGGGGGCGAATTTTTTTTCCGTACTCGAGAGAGCAAAAATCCCATGTGCGCATGCGCGTGGACTTATGATTTCTCTGCTACTTCCCATACGAAATGTACATGTATTCGCATCTACTGTGCACGATTCGCGTTCTACGAGTAAACGATGGCATAGTAGTCTTCAAACACAGACTCTGATTTGCCAGTTTGACAAATCAATATGCGTATGTGTCGCGATGTGCTTATTCAAGTCTGTGTAGTTGTATGATTCAGACCCAGTAGTGCATATGGAAATACATTGCAACTTGTATAGAATGGTATAGTAGTCTGCAAGCACAAATGTGTCGAATCAATTTTACAACTGAATATTTGTCTTGCTTTGTCTTTCCGTTCGTGCCCACAATCAAGATGATTGAATCATTTATTTCATCATGTGTGTTTGTTCTATCACGATTTTATTATTAATTTGACCATGGATTATACTGACAAAGGAGTTATTAGACCAAAGTTAGAAATATTATTACAGAATGACGGTTTTGAGAAGGCCAATAACTTATGACCTCATGGTGTGTGGGTTTGTTCAGAGCCAGAAGGGCATTCGTTGTGTTAAGAGTTAACATCCTTCTGGCTCTCAGCAGACCATGATTATAAATAAAAGTAATACAGAGAGTGCGAGCATACTGGAGGGAGGGCTAGAGAGAGAGAGAGAGAGAGAAAGAGAGAGAGATATGGAGAGAGAGAGAGAGAGAGAGAGAAAGAGTGTGAGAGAGCAGTGGCACAATACATAGGCCTACCATGGGGTCTGGAATCATTAAACTACACAAACTTGCATAAAATCAC